CCCTCCCTCCCTCCCTCCCTCCCTCCCTCCCTCCCCTCCCTCCCTCCCCTCCCTCCCCTCCCTCCTCCCCCTCCCCCTCCCCTCCCTCCCTCCTCTCCCTCCCTCCCTCCCTCGCACTTCCAACTCTCTCACCCTCTCTCGCCAGCATGCTCTCCAGTACGGGATCGACCCTGCCCGTCTTGTGCTGTGGGAGGTGAAGAAAGGGGAAAGCCTTAGCCGCTTCCTCCTCTTTGCCGACCTCCTCCTCGACTCCCCTGCCCACTCCATTGATCCCTGGCAGATCCTTGAGGTACCTCCTCCCTCCCCACTCAGCATGAGGTCACTGACTGCTTCCTGCAGAGTCTTCAAGCTCGATGCCCAGTGCTCTCCCTGCCCGGGCAGCAGCTGTACCAGAGGAGCACTGCTGCCATCCTGCGCTCGCTGTCACTTGACGACGTGTTCTTGGGTGAGGACAGACTGAGTGGAGATGGCACGTTGTATATCTTCATGATCATCATTCTTCCTCCTCCTCCTCCTCCTCCTCCTCCTCTGCTGCTGATGCATCTTCGTCTCCTCCTCCTCCTCCTCCTCCTCCTCCTCCTCCTCCTCCTCCTCTAATAGTGCTTCTCCTCCACTTCTGCCCTTCTCCCTCAGTCTTCCTTGTGACTGTTTTCCTCCTCCTCGTCCGTCGCTGCAGCGAGAGACCTCTTGGACTACGAGCAGCTGGCCGTCAGGCTTGCCACCCACCCGGGGGCCATCAGGTGAAGTTCCTTGATGAGCATGCTGGACGTTGAGACTGAGGCAGGAGGACAAAGTCAGACCTCTCCGGTGTGATAGATTCGCAGAGAAATCAAAATTTCTCTCCTCCTCCTCTCGCTCCATCTTCTCGTTCTCCTGTGGCTCCTCGGCTCCTTCCAGGTTGAGGCTCCGACTCCTCCGTGCTCCCTCTGAAGAATCCATCCGACAGGAAACAGTCTCGATCTCGCCGGCGGGGTCAGACTGCTTGAAGTCGCTTTCAAGACCCTCTGGGACTTGCATCACAACGACGTGCTCCCTCGTCCTGCCCTCCCGGAGGAGACAGGCCTTCGTCGTCCTTACAAGAGATTTCACGTCGTCGTCCATCAGTTGTGAAGCGCACAAGCTTCACGGTCAAGCTTGTCCTGCAGCTCTTGCAAGCGCTCCTTGCCCTCGGCTATCTCCCTCGCGTCTTCGCTGAACAGGTTGTATCTGATCTTCAAGCACCTCTTCATACACTTCACCGCACTCACTATCCTCGCTCGCTCCTTCTCCCACTGCACATCCACCGTCCTCGACCAAGGGCTCATGATCCACTTTGACATCTCCACAAACACCTCGGCCAGCAGCTTGTCGTCCTTGCCCTTCCTCTCCAGCACCTCTCTCGCCTGCTTCAGCGCCGTCCACGCGCTCTGCATGGGGTTGAAGCAATCGTCGTCAGAGCCGTCGGAGTCAGCGGAGGCGTCCTTGTTGACGTAGGAGGAGTTGGCGTCGGAGAAGTTGGACAGCACCTCCTTCTCGTACAACGATCGAGACAGCATGAGCACGGCTCGCACGCACTCCACCGAGTCTTCCTCAAAGTTGTCTATTTTCTCCTCGATCGCCACCGTCAGCAGGTCCACAGCATCGTCGTACCTTCCTTCCTCGAACGCAGTTTCTGCGAACCCTATGCACTGATCGGCCGTCATGACGTCGTCGTGCGGGAGGACCCTCTTCTCATCCTGCATATTCTCACCCTCCTCCGCCTCCTCCTCCTCCTCCTCTGCTTCTGAAACATTGCATGCTCGCTTCAGATCATCTATGTGAACGCGTGGGACGGGAACATCCGCTCCTATGCCCCCTCTCAGCTGCAGCAGGCAGCGTGCAGAAGACCTGGGGGGACTCAGTAGGAGGGAGTATGACAGAGCAGACTATGGGCTCACCTGATATTGAGGATACCCCATCTCCCTCCTCTGTTCACCTCCCCGTGGGTCTTCTTCAGCTGAGGATCAACCAAACCGCAGGCTATGGCCACGAGCCAAGAGACGAGGATGAAGTACTTGACGGACGGCATGCTCTGATCGGCTCAGATCCCGGGCATCTGCCGACATGTGGTTCAGGCCGAGGAAACATCTCCCCCTATCAGCATCCTTCTCTCACACAGACATACAGCATCCTAACCTCCTCATGCAGCATGTGATACATCTCGTTGGGATCTTGCGCTACACATACGCGCCCCTCCTCTCCTTCCTAACTGACTCTCTTCCCTCCTCTCCCGCAGGCCTTTGAGGCAGGCTTGTGAGGCAGCCGCCTTCAAGTGGCCGCGATGATGAGTAGTCACGCATGATTGGACCGTGCCCGGCCGCCCCGCCCGGCCCCTCGGAGCCGGGCCTCAGGCCGGGCCCGGGGCTCATCCTCTCAGTCCCCCCCCCGCCGGTGGGCCGGGCCGGACTCCGGTCCGGGTCACGAGTGACACACCGTGGCGCAGTGCCGCACCGGGCCGCGGGGGGCCGGGGGATCGGACCGCCGGACCGGACTCATGATTCGCAATGAGAGAGTCGCTGTGTACAGTGCCCCCCGCCGAAGGAGTGTATTCCGAGAGCGGCTGAGTGCCTCCCGCCCCCCGCGACTCAGTCCCGGCGGGCCGCCAGCGCCCGGCCGCCGCCAGCCCCGGCATCGAATCACTGAGGCGGACTTCCAACAAGCTTTGCCACTACCAGGAGTTACTGTTACCAGGGCATGGCGGGGGCAAGCAGCGACGGAATGCGCACTGCAAACGCCGCCAGTATGAGCAGGAGCGACCGGACGAGGTGAAGTAATGAGGTGTCTTCTATGTTGAGATGTTTGTCGCTCAAGTGTGTGTTGAGCGTGCTCATAATTCCATCGGGCCCAAGCAAGCTTTTGTTCGAGCATACTCAAAGTTTGTGGCGAGATGAGATGACATGCCTTCTATCATGTGTGTGCGGAGTGCAATCAAGGGAGAGACTGTGCAAGACAGAACACTGTTCTGATTTGAGTCAAGGGGTGCAAAGGAGGTTCTCATTCTTTCTCAGACGCTTCCCGCTCCATGCTTCGGCGTTAGCTTGGTTGATACACTTGGCCATGCAAACTCATCCACGCGGCTCGAAGCCTTATCCAACGATCTACTACAAACGAGTAGACTCTCTGGCGGGTGGTTCTACCGCACTCTTGTGAGTGGATCATCGCTCGTTTGATCGCAATCTTGCTGATTCCGCCATGTGCAGAGAGTCTCTGAAGCAAATGAACGTAACTCCATCTCTACCACCAAAGTCGGTCCTGTTCTCGTCGGCAAGAGGATCTTTACCGGGATATCCGGACAGAAATCTTGACTTGTTTGCAACAATGAATTGGTTCTCGGTCTCTGCAGGAGGTGGATGAAATTGAACATGTTTCTACCAGTGAATCAATCTGCAGGTTTTCATTCCTGTGGTATTCGCAGATACTTCAACTCGTCCAAGCACACACTTCCAGTTGACTACTCCACATTCGACCACATGTCACCAGATGATGCTCCCGGACAGCTGAGGTTTGTACCCTGTCGATCAAGGTTCAACCTCCTGACTCTCAGGAACAGATGTTGGGGCATGTACGACTACGGTCAAATCCATCCCTTGCCGTTGCCATTTGGGGAGGCCTCGAAATTGAGGAGATGTACAACAAGTGGAGGTTGCTTTCGGGATCTTATTCAGTCTGCCAGGCACCGGGGATAGCAGTCGCACAATCACGCTCGGTCAATCGATGGCAAAGGGGCTCCCCCCCATCCCTCTGCAGGTGGTAGAGAGAGACTGTTGGGATTGGGACGACGGGTGGAGAAACATTTCTGCCGGTCATTCAGCGAGCGTGAGACATGAATCGCCCTCTAAGTTTGCAGCAGGATGGCTGCACACATGTGGGATCCTCGCCAACGGAACGATGCTGTGCTGGGGAAACAACGCCAACGGGGAGCTCGGGACGCCCTAGTGAGACCTCTGTGGTGCGGTCTTGCGAGGGGAGCTGACGTGTGATGGAGTTGGAATGCCTCGGATGGGATAACATGTCAGGGTCAGAGTCAGAGCGACAACTGCATCGTGCGACTGGAGGGCACCTGGGTGATTGAGCAAGAGTGCCGAAAGATTCCCTCCGACCTGACGTTGAACTTGTAAGGCCCTCACGGAGACTGGTGGAGTATCAGCTGGAAGACAGCACACATGTGCCATCATGTGCACTCCTACCTCACCCAAGGCTGTAGACTCATTCACAGTAGTCGGTGAGAGATTGCTTCATCCCTTCCTCCCTCGCTTCTGATTTGTTGCAGGTGCCCCGTACGCTATGCCCTGGCCTTCGTCTCCTCCAGAGACTTGCACGCAAGGCGTTGTCAAGTGAGGAACAGACGGGATCTGCCTTGTCAGCCCTTGCTGAAGGCGACGCAGGTGCTGGGGGGATGATACGTTCTATCAAGCTCAGAAAGGGGTGGATGAGTTGTTCAAAAACGAGCAATACGACGACTTTATCAGCGTGTGTACAGCAACTGCTCATTCTTGTGAGAGCTTCACCCGTTTGCTCGAGTATTAGCATCCTGATAACTTCTTCTGCTGCCAGGCGCTGTAAGACGGGAAGGATCCTTGTATTGCTGGGGTTATGATGGGAACACGAGAACGACGATTCCAGCAGCGTACGCTGCTCAGAAATGGATCGCAGTGCGATGCAAGGTCATTTCCGAACTGATCGAGTGAGGAGGAGGGACTGATTTGCAGACAGGGAGCCCACACTTGCGGGCTGACTACCCCGAATGCAATCGGCCGATCTACTCTTATATGCTGGGGCTACAGTGGGTACGGACAGACAAGCGTGCCTTACTTTGAGAAACAAGTACGTTGACCGGTCAAGGTGAAGGATCAACTGAATCAGCCCCTCGTCTGTAGGTATTGATCCCACAGAATTCGTCGACAGTACCAGAAATTCAGATTCTGGTGACTTTTGCGAGCCCGGATGCACTGACTGAAAGCGACTGAACTGCAATGCTGTCAGCAACTTGACCGGAGCGTCCTCACGTTCGACACTGGCGATGTCAACACATGCGCATTATGGCAGTTGACCGAGGTCTGAATGCCTCCATCCTCTCGCCCCGATGTCACTCTTCTGACTGGTCGCTCCCTCTCAGGCGGAACAGACTTGCGACACTGCCAACTCAATCCCCCCAGCTCTCAACGGACAGTAAGTGAAAAGCATGCTGAACCCACGGCCTTGACAGCCTCGTGCAAGGTGCTGGGGCGACGGCTCATACGCGCAGAGCAACCTCCCTCTGCGTCCTCTGGGATATACGGCAATCAAGATCTGTGACGTGCTGATCTGGAACAAGATAACGGTGAGGAAATTCTCTGTGAAATCTTCCAGCTGATGACTTCTACTTCCTTGCTCGTCAGGCTGGCTCGGCGCATACATGTGGGATCACTATCGACGACCCCGGTCAAGACTGTTCCCAGGTCCTGTTTCCCCGTCCTAGCGTGCTGGTTGTGAAACATGACATGTCCGTACAGGAGTCGAGATGCGACGAATACCCTCCTCCTCTCTGCAACCCAACCTGCGATCCTCGCACTCGCTATCCGGGAGCTCCCATCATCAAATGCCCGCGGTATGTGAAAGGATACCTGATAGGCGTCTCTCCAAGGTGAAACCGCAGGAACGTCTTGCATGCTGAATGGTATGACATGCTCTGCAGATTCAACCCCGGGGACGGGAACTCTCCTCTTTGCGTTCCAGCAAGAACCAACTACATGAGGAAATGACATGCTGGACGAGGCAAGGCATCAAGACTCTCTGCTGACTCTTCTTCCTCTCAGGTGTTGGGGCTCGGACAGCAATGGTCAGATCTTCATGCCAGGGAGCAAGGCATCCGAGTTAACCCCGGACTTCCTCTCCGTGTCTTTCTTTGCATGCCTGCTGCTCCTAGGAAGAGCTCACGATTACAGTGTTGGATAAACCACGATTACAGTGTTGTATAAACTACGATTACAGTGTTGGATAGACTACGATTACAGTGTTGATAAACTACGATTACAGTGTTGGATAGACTACGATTACAGTGTTGGATAAACCACGATTACAGTGTTGGATAAACTACGATCACAGTGTTGGATAGACTACGATTACAGTGTTGATAAACTACGATCACAGTGTTGGATAGACTACGATTACAGTGTTGGATAGACTACGATCACAGTGTTGGATAGACTACGATTACAGTGTTGGATAGACTACGATTACAGTGTTGGATAGACTACGATTACAGTGTTGGATAGACTACGATTACAGTGTTGGATAAACTACGATCACAGTGTTGGATAGACTACGATTACAGTGTTGATAAACTACGATTACAGTGTTGATAAACTACGATTACAGTGTTGGATAGACTACGATTACAGTGTTGGATAAACTACGATTACAGTGTTGGATAAACTATGATCATAGTGTTGGATAAACTACGATTACAGTGTTGGATAAACTCTACCTCAACTTATCGTGCATAGCATGACGAGATTGTTCGTTTCCCTCACCTTGCCCGGCTTGTTCTGCATGTCGTTCGCAAAGGACTACGAAGCCCGCCTCGGCGTCGGCTTCAAAGAGAATGGCGGGAGGGGAAGTGAACGGATGGGCTGATGAGCAGGCAGGATGAAGGAAGAGCAGGCAGGCAGGCAGGCAGGCAGGCAGGCAGGCAGGCAGGCAGGCAGGCAGGCAGGCAGGCAGGCAGGCAGGCAGGCAGGCAGGCAGGCAGGCAGGCAGGCAGGAAGGAAGGAAGGAATGATTGCAGGCAGGCTGGTAGACAAGCGAGGAAGTAGGATACTGCAGACTTTTATGTGAGCAAAACATCTTGAAACATCGAGACTGAAGGACAATAGCTCGAGGCAGATCTTGTTTGTGTTCATCAGCCAAAACCTTTGTGATCCGTTCAACTGAGGCAGAGATTGCAACAAGAGTTGCAAATTGCAGGAGGTTTGATCTCTGCTGTATGTTGTTTTCATCCTGTTATTTAAATCTCCTTCGCGATGGCCATGTTTGACAATACTTTTGCTCAGCCCCGTCAGACTTGAGAGGAAACAAGCGAAGAGTGCAAGTTTTCTTGGACGTGACAAGATCCATCCTGTAACAGGATGAGGCTCCACATCGAGTGGTTGCGATTGCTGATGACCATGTTCATGCTCTTGACTATAGTGGCAACCAACCATGCCCGGTGCATCCTAGCAACCATCCAGTACAGCGAGAAGTACACAGACAGCACCTACGAGTACAGGTGAAGTCACATCAACAGAGGAGCCGGGGACATGACAGTGCTGGCATGCTGCAGACACGTCATCCTCCCCCAAGAGACTGCTCGCATGTGCCCCAAGAACAAGCTGCTGACAGAAACTGAGTGGAGGAGCCTCGGGGTGCAGCAGTCGAGGGGATGGGTTCACTATGCCATCCACAAGTTGGTCCCGTCGTCTCCTCAAGGATACTTCTGACACATCTCCGTGCAGGCCAGAACCGCACATCCTCCTCTTCCGTCGGCCTCTTGGAACTGATCCTGTACCTCCAGTCATGAGTTGGTTGTTGCGCTGACTGCGATACAGGTGACAGGAAAGGTAGTTGACAAGGCAGAGCAGAAGTGAAACGAACGTCTTGCTCCTCCGCTCATGCTGCGAACTCCTTACTGATCGTCCCCTGCGTTCAAACCCTTGCCTGCTCCAGCGGCCGAACGATGCCGAATGTTCTGGTGCTGGTGTCATGGTTTATTATCTCCTATTCCTACAACATTTTCTCTCCTTCTCTTCTTTCCTCCGCTTGCCTGTACACTTGTCTTGATATGTCAGTCGGAGACTATCGGCCTGTCTGAGGAGAACGGAGCTCGGTCTACCTGTATCCGTTAAAGATCCTTCAGTTGTGCTTGAATCGTCTCTCATAGTACTTGCTCATGCTAGAAACCAACAAGAAGGTGCAGGCGCACAAGACAAGACCGCACGCAAACACGGCTTGCTCGACTGTCGTCTCCTCCTCTAGGTAGACCATGGCTCCAAGGTTCAGCTGCCAGTTCGACTCTGTCCACACAACATGGGACATGTTGCGGTCGCCCTGAGACAAGACGAACTGAGACTGGTTGACATCCCATGCCACACCGAGAGGAAGAGCGTCTTGAAAGAAGGCGAAGGATCGGACGCACTTGCCCTGCAGGCAGCGAAAGTGCTTCACAGGCTGACAGGAGCCCGACGGATCGCAACAGTCGCAGGCTGAGGCTTCCTTGCTCGTCTCGTTCACTTCTCCTGGAGCAGAGGTGGCCATGGCAAGCTGCTCAAAGAGGAAGCGCTCCCTCTCGCTCGGGCCGCGCAGGGTGGGAGGCTGGTAGACGGACGTGTAGGATGAGGACGGGGCTTCCTGCTCCGAATGCTTCCACATGATCTTCCCTGCAAGCTCCCTCACCAACGTGCAGTTGGCGTGCAGGGCAGGAGCTTCAGCTCCTGTGGACAGGCTGTACAGGACCATACTCAGACGTGAAGCTGCCCGACACAAGCCCTCGGCCCGCAGCTCGGCTCCTCCGCTCTGAATCTTGTCGAAGCGGCTCTGATAAAAAGGGTTGGTGAAGTGGGAGCTGTATCCTGCAAGCAGAGCCCTTCCCTTGGGTGCCTTTGCCAACTTGCGAGCTTCCTGCTGCCCCGTCGCCTCCTCCAAGACGCTGCCCACAATGGTTGAGGGTGGGAATGGCAGGCCCTCGTCAGGGGAAGCGACTCCCGCAACCCCCGGGACGGAAGCTTGTTTGAGCACGAGCTCTCGAGCCTTCACTGAGGAATCGGAGGGCGAGCAGCCAGTATGGAAGAAGAGCCCCTGAGACTCTCCCAGCTCTCCACCGGCTGACGTCAGCTGGTCGACTTCAAGCACGAAGTCTATGGGGTTGTCCCGCAGCTGGACGATCTCGGGGGATAGCATGGGAGGGTCGACGCAGACATCGTTGGGAAGGCCGTTGGAAGGAGAGGTTTTGATCTTGCGGCAAGAGAAGTTGGCTATGTCACTGAGGAGCTTTCGGGAGCCTATATGGTCCCATTGCTCCCCTTGCAACAGCGCGAAAACGATAGGAGTACCCGCCAGCTCCTGCATCTTTCTTCGCACATCCTTGAGGGCATCGGCAGCAGCGATCAAGGCCACCACAGCAGATCCTTGGGAGGAGGCTCCCTCGGCAAGGTCATGGAAGAACGCGCTGGAGTCCATGGCTGCTGCTGCGACAATGATTCCTTGGGAGGGCGGAGGGGGGAACGAGGGAGAGTCGACGGACCAGATGTTGTACCCTCCCAAGGGCAGACACGTCTGCTTGCCGATGCAATCATACGAGGTCGGTTCCTTCTGTCGAGCGCATGTCGGCTGAGCCCATGACACTGGGTGGGTCTTGGAGGAGGTGCACTCGAACCCAAAGTCGCAACACGACCCTGCACAGTTGGGCCTGCAGTTGGGACAGCACGAGTCCACCTGTTGTAGCTCCCACCAGCTCTCCTGCTCGAGGCGGAAGCCTTGGAAGACGTCCATGTAGAAGTTCATCCTCACGACCAGGGCTGGCATCCAGGGCTTCACCTGCGCTATGAGCCCTTTGAGCTGGGCCGTCCTCGACGAGTTCACAGCGATGATAGGGAAGTTGAAACTCTGCTCCGAGAGGCTGTTCCCTGGGACGTTCCACTTCCCACTGCACCCAGATGGAGCTTTCTGCTCCTCACACTTGCAGTAGCGCATGGGGTTAGCTGGTGAGAAAACCCCCGACGTCGGCAGGTCGTCGGAGCGGGCAAGCAGGATACCTGAACATCTACTGGACTTCTTGAGCGCCAGCATGTTCTCTAGAGTGAAGAGATCCTCGTTGAGGAGGACCGCCCTCCTAGACACGTCCTTATCTTGAAACAAGGCATCCAGATCCGCCTGCTTTTCCGCAACTACCAACCTCCCTGCCTCCCCTCCTGCCATGGCCGACCTGCATCCCACGGCGCCCAGGTTGTTAATCAGTGTGGTGCATGAAACCTCGCTGTTTAGTTCCATGCGCATGATGGGTTCCGCCATGGCGGCGCTCGCTGCCGCCACCAACCACATGGCCCTCCATACCCACCGGCATGCTGGCATGCCCTGCCCGTAAATGCTCCCTGAGGCGAGCCCTGCAGCAAAAGAAACAGTGCTGTAATGATCACTTATCTTTGATGAGTAATCTATCTGTATGTAGTCTACTTTAACTTAACTTTAGTAGGTATCCACTTCTTACTGAGTCACTCGCGTGAGCTGCGGCCCGGGCCCAACGATATTGCCCGGGCATCGGGCCCCGGGCCCCGGGCCCGGTGTCGGCCGGGATGACTGAGAGGTTAACTTTAAAATCAACTACGGAATAACGGTCATCAATTTGCGAAGACAACACAGCTCCCCAATGGATGACCCACCCCTGTGAGTTCACCCTACCACCCCCCTCTCCCATCTGGTTGAAGTTTGAAGTGACACGTTGAACCATTCACTATGCCTCATACAGCGCATTTACTGAGGATCTCGTCCTATCAAATACCCTTATGTGCTCATGTCCCCTTTCTGGTCTGCCGCCACCACCACGACTGTGGTACCCCTACCCCCCTCTTTCCTCGACTGCAGGTGAATGAACCCCTGCAACGAGCTTAACTTTGAGTCTGTGTGCCTGCGAAAATTTTAAAAGCTTTACCTGGGATTTAATCTGTCTCACGGATGAGTTTTAAAAAATAGTTAACCCTATGAGAGCTATGCCTTTTGGGTCCTAGGAAATCATCATCTGTATGGGGAGACGAGGTCCTAGCATGCTTCAGGAGCAACCTGTTAGGCTGACAGGACCAAAACGACCTTAGCTGGTCATAGAAGGGCTATGTCAGTGGTCATAGCATCCTATGTTTGCACCGCGCGAACCTCTCAACCCCACCTCCATCACATGAGTACCCCCACAATTCCTGTTTGAAAGTACCCGTATCTATTCACTTTCACGAGCACCCTACCCCCCAATTTACCTGTAACAACCCTGTGACTTCCACCCTTTCGTCCGATTACATTCGCCTCCTCCACCCTCATTTGCAGTTCACATTTGTCCAGTGTGCTGTTCCTCTCCTCTTCTCCCTCTTCCCCCCTCTTCCCCTCCCCCCCTCCCCCCCCTCTCCTTCCTTCACTTGCCGATTCTGTTGGCTTTCCTCTGACCTCCTTCATTCTCTCTCCTTGCTTCTTTGAGTCGGAGTCTGGCCTCAGCTTGTTATTTCGTTTTCAACCGAACTCTAAACCTTCTGTTCCTTCCACTGTTGCTTTTCCACGAGCCAGTCCTCTATTCTCGTCATTATTGTACTTGACGTTGAAGCCCAATCCCTCGTCTGTGCTGGATGAACATCTTGGGCTGATTCAGTTCTTCTTAGTTAGTCCGCAGTAATTTGCCATCTACACGCAAACTCTTTCTGAAGATCGAGATGGTTAACCTCGCGAATCGAGTGGGATGCTTCTCCATGATCAAGTACTTTACTATTCGGGCACAGAGACCAGAAGATGCACACCTTGGTATCGAAGCAAAACTTATGTCCGGCAGTTTCCGCGAGCCTCAGTTCTGTATGCAGTACCCGCTACGTCCCGTAGGAAGTTTCTCAGTGATTGAGCAGCATGAGAGCATTCATGACAGGGTGAACAATACCTTCGTCAGCTGCAATTTCGAGATTGCTGAACCACGGCACGTACACGATCCTGCTGACCTCGTTAATGGCGGCTTGGAGTCGAACTATTCTTCAGCAACTTCAGATTTGTCGAGGGCATCGACTTTGGACTCTTGCAAGCCAGAAAATCATAAGCTTTGTCTGGATGGTTTTGAAGAAACCGAGCCAGCAATGGCAGCGGAAACCATTGACTTCATTGATATTCAAGATAACTCGACATTCCTGATGCAGAACCTTGTTGGTCACAACGCGACACTTGGCCAGCAATTCCTTGTTCCATTGAGGGCAAATAACAGCTCTGTAAAGCCTGGTAGACATTGCAGTACAACTTTCACGAAACTCCAACAAGTCGGCGCCAAGATCCAGCAGCGTCAAGAGCAGGTATCCGTCGTCCACAAACATATTTCAAACAAAGCTTTTCAGCCAAAGTCTCCCAAGGTTTTGAATTGCAGGAGATTGTACAATGTTCCACGACAGATCTACATGATGTAATCTGATTTTTAATGTATAGAAATTAGCTTCATTTGAAAACTTTTAAGATCAGCAAGTTCTCGATACCCGCTTTCCTTCTCATCACAACCTTTGTTCTGTACCCCTTTGTTCCCATCCACTTGGCAATCTGTCAACAGTTAGACGATGTCACTATACAGTTGTTTTGTGCCGAAAGCTTTGAAACACATCCTACCTCGTGCGGATCGTTGCTATCTAATGCAACCATGTACAGTCGTCCCTGGGGCGATAAGATTGTCTGTCGAGCATATCAGAAAGGATTCTCATGGCGAGATACTCAACCTCAATTTTCTCCAAAACTTTATCGACAACTTCCCTGCCTTTATCACCCCCAGCCCACGATCTCGCAATCCAAGAGCTCTGGTGAGAACACGAGTAACGCTGCAGATATCACGCGCGGATCCTTGTCAATACCTCGATCTCTTCATGAGGGGTTGGGACGTAGGGAGGATTGAAGAGCAAGACATCTATTCCACTCTGAGGTTGAGTCAGAAAGCATGAGGCGACACCAGGAGGCCTACGGGAAGGTTAATGGCCGAGAACAGGTCCATGTTGAGCAGGTCGATCTTGAGCTGTTCAGCATGCTCACTTACTCGCACATGCTCTTTGCAAGGGGGGGTAACCTCGTTAGCTTCAAACGTTCGGCGAGCTGCTGCTACTGCATGCGGGTTGATGTCGGAAGCTATGTACGCTGGGCCCTTGAGGTTCAAGGCTAGGAATGCCGTGATGCACCCCGACCCGCACCTGCACAACATTCAGGGGTTTGGAGGAGGAGGATAATTTCTTGATGTACCCGAGCTCAAAGACAAATCCAGGTCTTGCAGCTCTGATATCTTCAAGCTCTTTTTCTAGGGCATCCATGAAGAGGAAAGTATCCTCGGCCGGTTCGTAAACATGCTCCCAATCACTCCCTGTGAGCGGGATAACCTGCCACGGCGATTCAGTCCTTGCTGCATGCGTGCAGTATTGCTCCATCCACCGGATCTCGCTTCAATGATTGACCAGCCATGCCGTGACGCGATGCAGGGTGGGTTCCTGCGCTCGCCAGGACTGGGGAAACTTGCTGGAAGAGGAGGAGGATGGAAAGGGCGCGGGTACAAGTCGTCACTTTTCTTACTCTCTCGCAATCTCACAACCCCGAAGCTTCAGATCGATGCAGGTGTAAGAGCAACATGTTTCCTGCTTCTTTGACGATCTCAATTCTTGCGCCCTCGTGAATTCTCAACTTGACCGATCTGTGTGAGAACAGACTGAGTGAGAGAGCCGAACGGTCAGCTACATCTTGACACATCTTCCTCTTCCTCCTCCATCCTTCATCCCACCTCGCCTTCCTCCTCCTCCTCCTGGTCAACAGCTCCTAGCTAGAGTTGCATCTCGCATGTTGAGCTAATAATAGCATCAAAATTCGGACTTGAAATTGAAATTTCAACCAAATGGTCGAAAAATCCACAGATTCAAAGAGAAATTTGAATATTACATGGATAATTTGAATACTATATGGAGGATTTCTTTATTGTGGGTTTTCAAATAATTTATTGTAAGAATCGGAATGTTATTCCGATTGTGCAAAATGTATGGGATTTTTATTGGAATCCATAAACTTCTATAAATTCTGGTACACTCCGAAAACATTGAAAAGAGTAGTATATGATAGCTAATAAAAGCTTCGGGAAGAATCCTTACGTAAGAGACGAGAGAGGGGAAGGGGAGGGAGAGCAGGGGAGGAGGAGAGAGCGAGAGCGAGCGAGCGAGCGATAGAGCGAGGGAGAGAGCGAGGGAGAGAGCGAGGGAGCGAGAGAGAGCAAGAGCAAGAGCGAGAGCGAGAGAAAGAGAGCGAGAGAGGAGAGAGAGCGAGTGCGAGAGCAAGCGAGAGCGAGAAAAAGGAAGGAGCGAGAGAGAGGGAGAGAGAGAAAGAGAGCGAGAGAGCGAGAGAGCGAGGAGAGAGAGAGAGAGAGTAGAGAAGATCGTAGAGGACAGCTCTATACGGAAAAGAACCGGCGTGAAGGTTTAGATAGGCAAGGAGAGAATCGAAAAGACGGAAAGGCGGGGAGGGCGTAACGACGTGTCAGTCTTAAAGATCCTGCGAATGCCAATCTGATTGAACAACTTCGACCGACCGTGTCAAGATCTCCACAGCTTCTGGTTCAACGCTACCATTCGATTTGCTCTCTTCCGAACACGACAGTCCTCTGTTCGCCTAGTTTGTCACTGACACAACAAGAGACAAGATGAACAAGTTGAAGACGATCAGTTGCATGATGGGTGAGCATCTAGCTTTCGCTCACCTTTGTGACATGATTGTGCAGGAAAAACAACACCAAGGCTGTCAAGAAGTTATTCCTTCCACGTCCTTCATCCGCAGATGCGACGGATTCGCCCAGTCGCCCCACGTCTTCACATGCCATGGTTGCGACAGGGGAGGCATTTCTCGGAGGGACCAGAGAGGTTCGCACGATCGATATTGATGACAATGCAAAGATGGTCCTTTGATCATGTTCGCAGCGGCCCTGAGAGGAAGGAAGGCGCCGCCAATGCACAGAGCAAGGTTGATTGCACTTGGGGGTTTAAGAGCAGAGACGCTATCCTTGAAGTGCTCGACGACAACAGGCAGATCAGCCAGCAGATGGTTAGGACTTGCTTGTTGGGAGGGTGCCGAAGATCTCATACCTTCATGCTTCTAGCTTTTCAGTTCCATGATGCCCTTGAAGAAGTTGAACATGTAAAAAAGGCCTGTTGGGTGTTGGTGATATTCGCTGACATACTGCCAAGTTCGAAGGAGGGCATTGAGATGGGGACAATACACGCATTCTTGTGCATTGCTGAGATGTGAGATTGTAGTTTCCTCTTGTGAAGTCACCGAACTCATGGTGGCCAGGTATCGAAGCCGCGATGAAAGCAAGTTCGAGATTCACAGTTCTAGCATCTTGAACGGAGGCCTGGCCATGCAGTTTGCGAAGCAGGCCCAGATCGTAAGTCCGCTGTCACGTGAGTGTTAGCTCATACTGTGCGAAGGATGAAACACGCCGGATTGTATCCGTCGATTCAGTTCCGAGATGTACGTGTCGAGTAGCAGTTAACCGTCTGGCAGTTTTGGCTAACCGAGCTCCCCAGTTGAAGTCGTCGTTGCTGTACTCTATCGTCACCTTCGAAGAAGTCGTGCCAGACTTTGAAGGGTATCCTGAGCTTGCTTGTCAACAGCAGCCTGACTGGTCGTGCAGACATTGGTCTGTTCGATTCTTTGGCAAGAACATGCTTTCCAGTTTCATCACAGTCCGTGCTTTTTCCTCTGATACTCTCTTCCTGACGTTGGTGAACCGACTGCAGATTGCTTCAAGTTATCTTCAACTAGCTCAGACGATGCAACCTGTGATCTCAAGAATATCGTTTGTTCGATTCTTATCTCTGCACTCCAGGTTCATCTACAAGTGACCATGCATATTAAAGGAAGACAACGGATCAGCTTCGTCAACCTTGAACAGTGGGAGCATCGACCCCCCATGATAGATGAGACAAGCTCGGACGACACGGGCTTTGAAGACTTCGATCACGTTTGGTTGCTGGAAGCTATGATCGACTGGAAGGATTTCATGTGAGAGCAAGAGCCTGTTGTTGTTAGGGGAGTTCATGTTCGTGTTCATGTCTTTGTCTTCTTTTGCCCATTGTTTTTCGCTGTGGTAGTGGTGATCATTTGGATGATGGAAGGCGAAAGGCTAGAGAAGGAGGGAGTGAACCGGAGGAGAAGTTTGGTGACTGAGGAGGAGGAGGAGGAGGAGGAGGAGGAGGAGGAGGAGGAGGAGGAGGAGGAGGAGGAGGAGGGGGAAGGAAGGAAGGAAGGAAGAGGAGGAGGATAGAAAGTGTATTTGGAAGGTGTATTCGTGTGGTGGTTGCGTTCAGGACTCATCGCTGAGTGACTGGAGGGAGCGGGGGGTGGGGGGGGAAAGAAGAAAGAGGTCGAGCATCAAGCTTGGGGGCTGATCAACTTGAACAGACAAATGAATCAGATGCCGACCGGCTTCGAGTCCGGGGAGGATCACGAGAACATCCAGTACAGGTTGAGGGAGAAGAGACTAGGTTGATTGGCCCTTGACATGACGCCAGGTGGATAGTTAAAGACATCAACGAGCACATGGAGACAATCGGCGAGCAGAGCAAGTGGAACATCAGATGGTCGTGATATGCAGACTGATCTACTTGCTGACTTTTAGTTGCAAACAGGTGAACGACTGCAGAAGCTCTATGCAACACAGTGCAACCGTCCAGTGGCCTCCAAAGATGGCACGATGTGCATACTACTACAACACGATCCCACATAAACATGTTCATTCAAAAGTCGGATTGAGAGTCAAAGTAGCTGTAGTTTCCCATGCTTGTTTGCACGATGATACTTTGAAGCGCGGTCTTGAAAACTTATCGGGTTCTCGTTTGCATCATTCCTCTCCGATCCCTTTTGTCTTGTGCAGCTCGTACCAGTGATGATCCTATCAAACGACATCATCAGCATGTCCATCGTGAAACCACCTCCGGACCTTCTTCGATTTTCTCAGGCGCACGATGACTGTATCCTTCTTGACTCGGACGTTGCTCTCCTCAGGGATGATCTCTTCACTAAGTTTCGGAACTTGCAATCTATGGTTGAAACCTGCAAGCAGCTGTTAGATCCACATTCCCCGAGCTTGTTCCTTTCACACCCCTTTGTCCCATCCTCAACCTCCTCGCTTTCATTCTGCCCATCTCCTCCTCCTCTTCCTCCTCCCCCCGCCTCCCACCACATCTCCTCCTCACCGCATCTCCTCCTCACTTACCATTGTAGTTCATGATCCTGATACTGCAACTCCTCACGTCAAAATCCGCTGTCACTGAGCTCTCCGGCAGGTCGCCAACCTTGGGCATCGAGATGTAGACCCTGACAGCTTCCCGTCACCTCCAACCACTGCGAGTCGAGTTCCCTCACTTGACCCAGCCATCCTCGTCCTCGAACGAGTAGCTGCTGATTGTCTTGTAATGAATAATCTCCTCCTGCTTCGCAGCACGCGTGCGAATCTGCGGTCACATGAGCAAGTTTCCCCGTTACCCTCCTCCCCTCCGCCTGAACCTGCTTCGGCGCCTCCACTGGAGCTGGCGCCTCATCAGTGGCCTTGCGGGACCAGTAGTAGTAGGATTTGTCCTTAGCCTTCACTTTGGACAGCTCGATCGCATTCTTCACTTCGGATGAGTTCACCACAATCCGCTCGTTGTTCTCTGCCACCGAGTTAGAACTTCGCGCCTCATCCCCTCCTCCTCCTTCCCCACCCTTCATGGCCTCCTCAAGCGTCACAATCCAGATGTCATCTCCGTTCTTAAACGTCTTGGCGATCGGAGCGTCGGCAGGAACGACAACCTGCAGGACAGGTAAGGGGGAACTTTGACGGTTCCCTTCGTTCTCACCTGACCGTCTGTTCGCGCACACAAGGAGTACTTGTCCAGCCCTTCCACCTCTGAGTTGTTCTTGTGCTTCTCATTGTAGATCCTCACAAAGTCCTGCACAGCAGGTTACAAACAAGGACCGAGTATCTACCGAGAAAGACACCTCTATCAAGCTTCCCACGGTTTTGCCAGCGTCAGTGATCTGGAAGACTTGTGTAGCGTTTGGATCTTGTCTTGACGACGCAGCTGAATGTAAGCATTAGAAGCACATCCAAGGCTCGGCATACTGCCCTCACCACTCTCGTAATGAGCATACACTTTCATCTTTACTGTCTCCTTCTTGGCTTCTGAGCCGTTGGCGTGAGCCGAGGTGATGCTAGATTCGTTGCTGGACCCTGTTGCCGTTTAACCAGCTAAGATCGAGGGCAGGGAAGGTCTTACCATCCAGATTTCTAGGCTTAGAAGACTCCAGGACGTTAACAAATACATCATCTCCAGCTGACACATAGTCTTTCAACTTCGCATCTTCAGGTATGATTTTGCTGAAGGAACCCCGTCAATGAAGATCAAGTACCAGATATTCTTTGACAAAGAGTGCATTCAAACTCAACCAAACTGATCGTTACATCCCACATATCAAACTCACCTTCCAATCTTCAACTCAATCTTCGCAGGCTCCAGAAAGCACTTGTGCCCGTACTTTGAGTTGTACTTGGAGCAGAAGAAAGCCTTAAGGTCCGCGCAGGATGGAGGCTTTTCCCCTCCTTCCACCAGGGCCTCATCGATCATGAAGGGACTTGTGTATGCTGGTCTTTCCTCCTCTCCTCCCTTCTCGTCCTCCTCTACATGACAGTATCCTTTCCCTCCCGGCATTGCGAGTTCTCTAAACCACGACCACCCACCAGTCATGATACCACCAACTCGCCTACCCCCTACCTACTCCAAGTCCTCGAATCACCCACCCTGACTGTATTGGCGGTTCAGCACCCTACCCCTCCTTCCATCCCAACGCATCATTGGGCAATTTCGATCAAATGACTGAAACCATGTTGTTCAATTTGAAACTATCATTAACTTAATTTCAAATTATCTATGAAAAAAACTTCCAGAACTTCTGGTTGGATGGGGGAGGTCCAACCCTACCCCACTTTTCGAAATCGACAATTTCATAAATTCCACGTCAAATAACAAATAAACTATAATACGATGTTTGTATTCCATCAATAGACTACAAAAGAATCAATATTCAATTGGCACCATGCACAAAGCCCGAGACTATAGAAACCTTGCTGCCATATCCTTTCACTGTAGTGATACTCTGGGGCAGGCTCGTAAAATCCTTCGGCCCCCATCACCATGCTGCGCCTCCTAAGCGTCGGTCTGCTGCTGGCAGCGCAGGGGTCGAGCATGGGCTACGAGCTCAAGAGATTCGGGCTAGGATCCCATGCTCGCCTTGCTCCTTGCGTTCAGCCAGGCTTCGTTAGCTTCTCAGCCCTCCCCAAGTTTGCAATGCGAGCCCCGAGCGACCTGGCGGTTGCTCGTCTCCGTCCCAAGGCTGCTTTCGCTGTGAGAAGAGCAAGGCTCGGTTGCCGCTCCTTGGGCATGATGGCTGACGAGGGAGAATCTCCGCATGCATCAGTAGACAGCGACGAGGCTGAAGCTACTTGGACTCTCCAGGACGACCTAGAACGAATCCGTGCAGCACTGGATCCTGGATCCGAAAGCGGCCGCAAACTGCAGGAGACCATAGAGAAGCTGGAGAAACTCAGCGATGCTGCCGTCCAGCCCAAGTCCACCAAGTTGTTCAAGTCGGTGAAGAAGAGGACAGGGGCATTCGCTGTCATGGTTGAGACTTGTCTGGAGGAAGGGAGCGAGCAGGAGGTGGTGGACCTGTCGCGACAAATCCGGCAGAGCAAATCATCAGGGATCATGATAGACGTCAGGAACACTTTCTCCTCAGATGGAAGACAAAGCTTCGATCAAGTATTCATGGAACAAGTGCTGCACCATTGCAAGCCTGCTGACTTGTTCCACAGATATCCCAGGAGCAGAGATCGGCAAAGGGAAATTTTCCAGGGCCATGCCCGATTGTTGTTCGCCATCGATCTATTGCACATCCATGGCAGGTACCTCAGTCAGCTACTGGAGGACAGCTACGTATGCTGACCTGTTCCTGCCTGTCAGGTTGCCGAGATCTCGTGTGCAGGAGCAGAAGGGGTCGTGTTGTCCTGTGCCGCACTGTCCGATCAGGAGTGGTATCACCTCTGCTGTCCTCACAAGAAGCACCACCACGTCTCTCCCTGTCTATCACCTCTTCCTTCAGAATCCTTTCGGCTCCTCGAGATTTCTCTCTCTTTAGTTCACCGAGACTGACGTCGATGGCTGACCGTTGTACCTCGGCAGGGGCTCAAAGCTGATTCAGAGCTGCAACTTTCTTGGACTTGGTCGGGGCTCTTGTCTTGAGTTGCAGCGTCTCGTGATGACTCTGAACTTCCAGAGGTCCTTGTGGAAGTATCCGATGAGGACGAAGTGAAGCAAGCTGTGGAGGTTGCGGCGTTAAGGCTGACTTCGACGTGATGATCCTTTCCTGTCAGGCTGGAGCAAAGATTGTTTGTGTCAGAGGGGTTGAGAGTGTGGAGGAGGCTGTCATCCTCAGGGCGAGCATCCCCGACGTGCGTTGTTGGCTGGTGCCAAAGTGTGGAGTCCTGACAAGTCTTGCAGACTTGCGCGGCCGTGTGTGCTGTCCCAGCCCAACAGGAAGACAACAATGAGGTTTCTTCTGCTGTTTCCGCTGCCTTCCCCTGTGATTGGTTTTCCTGCTCTCAGATAGTTGAGGTCGAGCGTCTGAAACAGGCCAAGTATGATGCAGTCATCCTCATGGACGCAGCCCTCTCCGCTGGCCCGGACCGTTACTACGTGCAGTTCGCACTCAACGAGATTCTTGTTGGTCTCCACGCCCCATCCTGCACGGCACTGACACGTGACGATCCCTTCAGAGCAAGAAGAGCAGCTCGTACTCCTTCGGGACGATGGGAACGTCAGGAGAGGTTGGCCCACATCCCACCTCTCTCGTCGCTAATGCTCCTCTCAGCCCGATAAGCCGCCCCCCGGCATGATGCCGGCAGCGCAAGAGGCGGCGAAGAGGAATCCAAGGTGAGTTGGGGTGTCGCTACGACACTTGCTGACAAATCTTCTTGCCTGCCTGCCTGCCTGCCTGCCTGCCTGCCTGCCTGCCTGCCTGCCTGCCTGCCTTCCGGGCCCGCCTTCTCTCCATCGCTCACTGACTCTCACAAAGGGCATGGGCGAAGGCGCAGCGGGAGGCGAAGAAGATCGTCTCCGACTACAAGAGGGGAGTGAGGTATGGAGGGTTGGAAACCGTCGTACTATGTATTTCTCTTGATCTCTTCTTTTTGCAGGGTACTGGACAAGTCAAGACAGTTCTAAGGAAATAAAACCCGGGCCGCGCCGGCCCCGGGCGGATCCGTTCAATTTTTTGCTGGCCCGGCGCACTGACAACCGTTGAACCGCAACACTGTCAGCGAGCTCACTGAGTCAGGATTCCTCACTGAGTCGGGATTCCGAAGTTTGCAAGCGGCCCGGCCCGGGCCCCGGCTGGCCGGAACTTGGCAAATCGCCGGGACCGTCACCCGGTCGGCCCGGCCCCGCCGAGTTGAGTGAGTGCATGGTCACTGAGGCGGACCCCTCTTGTTGCCCTTCGCCCCTGAGTCCATGGCGGGGCAGATGTCGAGCGGTCGCATCTCCCCAGCCGCGTATGTTGTGCTCCCCACCGTGAGCCTCCTGCTCTCCCCTCCTCTCCCCCTCACATTCCAACGCTCATGCAGCATGCTGAAAGGCCTCTCGCTGCCCACTGCTCGTCGGCTGCTGACGACGAGACTCATGCGTGAGAACGAAGGAGGAAGGAGAAGAGCGGGGGAGGTGAGGATAGAGAAGGTGTCGGACAAGCACGAGGCCCTCCTGGACCTCATCCGAGCTTCTGTGCAGGACAACGAGTTCTCGCCCTATGAGGATGTTGAGGAGGCAAAAAGGTACAAGGAGGGGTTCTCGTACTACCTCGCCAGCCTCTCCTCCTCTGGCGAAACCTGCGGCTTCTTCTCCATGGGATCATCTTTTCCCAGGAGAAGCTCGCACGTATGCAATCTAGACGTCTACACAGTCAGGTCGTACAGGAGGCAGGGGATCGGATCGATCATGTGCATGGAAGCGCAGCGCATAGCGAGGAGCGAAGGTGGAGGGAGGAGATGAGCTTACAAAGCTGACGTGTCGCAGGGTTCGAGCTCCTGTGGGCGCCCCTTGTGTTTGTGAGCAATACTGAAGCTTGCGAAATGATGAGAGCGATGAACTTCCGCCTGTTGTCTGTCTTGCCGCGCGCAGGGAGGCTGAGAGATGGGAGGAGCAGGACGGACGCGATGCAGTTCTACCTGCCCCTGCAGGAGAGCAAGCAGAAGCCCGCTGCTCGCGCGCTGACTTCAGAAGGGACGGATGATGCACGAGACGAAGAGTGGATGAAGAGGGCGATGGAGCTGGCGGAGAGAGCGAAGGAGGGAGGTGAGATTCCTGTAGGAGCTGTGGTTGTCTTAGGAGACGACCTTGTGGGAGAAGGATGCAACATGATACGAGCAAGCGTTGATCCGAGTGGGCATGCGGAGATGATTGCGATCCGTCAAGCTGCTCAGCGGCTGGGAAATTACAGGTGAGGGAGGAAACGTTGAAGATGAATATGGATATGAAGAAGATGGTGAAGGTTAAAGCATTGTGGAGGTGGAGGAGGGGGAGATCAGTTTGATAGATGTTACAACTCGAAGAGGAGATTGGTGTGATAAATGTCATAGCAATGGTGATGGTGATAATGATGATGATGACGACGATGACTGCGTCAAGCATGTGCATAGAGACGTTTGTGGAGTGGAACAAAAATAATTTCATTCTGCCAGGCTCACGCAGTGCACTCTTTATGTCACCTTGGAGCCGTGCTGCATGTGTGCAGGAGCAATCATCCTTGCAAGGATGAAGCGAGTTGTGTTCGGTGCAAGAGACGTCAAGACAGGATGTGCTGGCTCTGCTCTCGACCTGATCGGGCTTCCGAAGTTCAACCATGTCGCACGAGTGAAGGCCGGAGTGATGGAGGATGCATGTTCGAAACAGTGAGGGCCATTTTCTTTCCTCCTGTGCCCGGACTCTGATCTTTCCTTTCAGACTCTCTGATTTCTTTGAGGAGAGGAGAATCGCAAAATTGAAGGATAAGGAAGGGAAAGCAGGCTAAGGCCGGGGAGCAGACGAAGTTTTTGTTTGTAACGCTTCGAAGCTGTTAATCTTTGTGTTGGTTCACTCCGCATTCAACCTACATTGTCCGCGTCCATGTCCGAGCAATTTCTGATGGCATAAAGCAGTTTCTCTGTCATCACCTAGAGTTGGTGTCACTGTCACTTTCATCGTCATCGTCATCGTCATCATCATCATCATCATCGTCATCGTCATCGTCATCGTCATCGTCATCGTCATCGTCATCGTCATCGTCATCGTCATCGTCATCGTCATCGTCATCGTCATCATCGTAGTCATCCCCTCCACTTTCTCCATCAACTCGATCTTGATTATTTTCATCTACATGCAGCACTCCCCACTGTCGTACCTCAATCGAAGAATAAGCAGGAAGATGCAGGGTGAAGAAGCACGTGTCTGCCTTGGGTAATCTAAAGACAACTAGTGATCAAACAGAAAAAATGACAATATGAGAGGAAGGTGGAGGAACAAAGAGGAATGATAGGAGAGAAAGACTACAAGAGGACTGGAAAGATGGAGGAAGGAATGGAAAGAAGGATGCGAGGGGGGAAGGAGGAAGGAGGAAGGAGGAAGGAGGAAGGAGGAAGGAGGAAGGAGGAAGGAGGAAGGATGATAGGAGCAGCACCGATCGTCCCCTGGAGGGAGCACATGAATCTTGAAAGTCTCTTCGAAGTCACTCGCTCTTGGCAGTCGACTTCTCCCCCAAACAAAGCGGAGGAAGCGCAACCGGTCCCTCTGACTGAAACCTCCCAGGACCCTCCACAGGTCCTCCACCACCTCCTTCGCATCCCCGTCCGTGCGGAAGATAGCATGCTCCCTCAGTAACTCCAGGTCGACCTCCGCCTGACCCGTCACCATGCTCTCCAGCTCACTCCAGTGCAGGAGGAGGAGCGAGCATGGCTGGACGATCTCATGAAGACCCCTTCTGATCGCTGACACCTGCTCTCTGCTCTCCTCAAGGCGGATGCGGAAAGCAGCGCGCGCCATGGCGGTCCTGCCTGCTGCTGTGCTGCAGCCCGTCGCCTCCTCCGAGCTCAGCAGCACCTTCCTTCCATCGCTGAGAGAAACCTCCATGGTGCCATCAGCCAGCTCCCACAAGCCGCTGCTACGCTGCTTGTCCTCGTCCTCGTCCTCGTCCTCGTCCTCGTCCTCCCTCATCATCCTCAGCAACACCCTGCCCGTCATTGTGTCGACCTGCATGACATCTGCGTGCGAGACGGGCTGCTGAGCAAGAAGCTTCCAGAAGAGAGGAGGAAAGTTGAGGTCCAACGGCATCCCCGTCCTGATCGCAATGCCCATCATCCTCCCGAGAAACTCAAAGAGGGAAAGATTATGCGGAGAGGAGGAGGAGGGAGACGGGAGGAGCTTGTCCTGGTTCGGTAACGTGCCTCCTTCGTGCTTGTTGGGGCAGGGGATCAGCAGAGGTAGTTTGCCTTCCTCTAGCTCAGCGCATGAGGAGGAAAGGCTCTCCCTGTACGGCCCTCCGTATCCCTCCGCACCCTCCCCCAGGAAGTGGACGAGGAAGGGCATGTCCTGCCTGCGGAAGAGAGCAGGAGGGAGGAAGGAGATCTGACTATAGAGCTGCTGGAAGACCGTGACGTTGCAGTGGCGGTCGACCACGACTGTGACCTGCTGTGATTTGTTGCTCAGATGCTGGAAGCACTGTGACATGTGCTGCTTTTTGACGTCGGTGAAGACAAGATCCCGCAGTCCATAGAGGCTGTGAGCAAGCGACCCGGCAGTACCGACGAGCGACAGGTCGACGAGGGAGAAGATGAAGTCGGCGAGAAGAGAGTTGAAGGTGAGGAGCATGGAGGACCGGAACCGGAGCAGCAAGGAGGGTAGGTGCTGTATCTTGGCTCGATCGTCCGCCTTCAGCGCATGCGCCTCGTCGACCGCCTCCTCCGCCCTGTTGAGCACGTCCCCCATGACGAAGCCAGCGGGAAAGAAGAGGGAGGAAGGGGAGGCGATGGAGCCAAGGTTGTGGACCTCGGGGTTGTGGTTGACGAAGTTGCCCAGCAGGTCATCTACAAACCTGTCGACGTTGGCGAGGCAGCTGACAAGATTCTCAAGCACATCCCTGTGGTTGCTGAGTATTTCCAGCCGTCCTTGCTCGGAGTAGTCTGGGAAGACAAGGAAACGATATCCCCAGTTCGATCCCTGCTTGCCGGAGAAGTTGTAGACAAACTTGCTGCCCTCCATGACGAGGAAAGATTTGCCCTTGCAAGCTTGCTGGAACTTGGTACCGCTCAACTTGTGCACTCTCGACGAAGACGACGAGGACGAGGACGAGGACGAGCCGGGAGAAGACGCAGAGGAAGCAGAGTCGCAGTGCAGTCTTGCGTGCTCGTCCTCCTGGAACTTCTTGTGGAAGGTCAGAAAGTCGTCAGAGTCTGTAGCACATCGCCTGTCAAAGATTATCTTCAGCCGAGCCGCTCCAGGGAACTCGACCACCCCCTCCTCCCAAGTCCCTCTCTGATACGGGTGTTGCTTGCTCTCCTTGATGCAGAAGGGAGTGACAAGGTTGATGAAGCTCTCGCACAGGAAAGAATGTGACAGCGAAGGCAAACCGTGCTTGTCCGACAGCGAGCTCAGCGCTGAGGAGAAGATGAGCACCTGCTCGGCAGCCTCCATGCTGCACACAGACGTCGCCGAGATCTCTACTCGCTGCCTTGCTGTGCTACTCAGTTCGCAGAACCTCGCAAGCTCCTCCGTCTCCTCTTGCCCGAACCCAGCAACGGCACAGTCTCCCTCCTCCCCCCCCTCCACTCGCGCCTGCTCCCCTCGCTCCCGCGAGCTCCATGTCAGGTGGTTGTGCAGGAGCTTGTTCGGGATGTCAGTGGGGACGAAGCGCAGGCACGTGAACATAGTCTCCATCAGAGTCCTCAGAAGGATCGACACGTCGCTGGGGCTCTCGACTTCATGGAGAATGCGATACCTCAGCTCCTCGGCGGAAAGATCCAGCAGGTGTGTTGTCATGATGACCAGGCTGTCCTCGTTGCTGTGCTGGACGACCGGGTGGAAGGGGAGGAGGCGGAGGATGCTGTTGATGGCTCTCATAGCCTCTACCCGCACGGAGGTAGAGCTGCGAAAGTTGGAGGACAAGCTCATCAGCTCCTCGACCAGGTCCACGAGCTCCTGAGAGGGAGCGGAGGGAGGAGGTGAGAGGAGCAATGTAGAAGTCATCCGGAGCACACAGACTGCTGGTAGGGATGATGGGGATACGAGCATCTTGTACCCCCAGACGCTCTCTTCGCTCTTCCCCACTACCTTGAACCAGAGGCAGTTGCCGGAGATGTCGATGGGGGAGAAGGAGTTGTAGCCCTTGCCGCTGATGGAGGCTACCAGATCACTGCAGTCTGCATCTCGAAAGATGAGTAGCTTCTGCCTTGCGCCGAGTTGACTTCTCTTGTCGAACACGACGCTGATCTGATAGTTAGAACGCACAGAGTGAGTTCAGGTGATAGCAACAGTTGTACATGTTACCCTGGAGCAACTGGCAATGTCGATGGAAACACGCCTTGACTTGCCGTCAACAGCCCCATGGAAGGGATGTGATGATTCTGCTACCTTGACTGCAGCTGAAACATCAGTCGCTCCAGTTGTTGTTGCAGCAAACTCACCGTATTGCTCGTGATGCTTGTTGACTTGTGCGATCTCTGCCGTCAGCAGCGCAGCAACCATGTTGCGAGATCCAAGATCCGCTCCTCCCTCCTCTCCTTGACAACGTTGACTTGTGCTGCTGACTTTGTGATTCATCTGCATCATAGCTTGCAGAGCGCGGACAGGGGAAACTAGCGTGGTCGATGGATCTTTTGTGGAGTTGACATGTTTGCCGATGATGTTCAAACACTTGCCGGTTGTCTCTTGTGTGAAACTGACATCTGAATGGTAGGTGGAGAGCAAGGGTAGACTGCAGATCACACAATCTCGCAATGTCGTCATGTACATCTCACTCCTGATCTTGCAGAGACATCGCACGAGCTCATTACCCTGCAGTCTCATGGCAAGGCAGAAAGTGTGGAGAAGGAACTTGTTGGGGCGAGCGAGGCTGGCAACAGGGACCTGAAGGATCTGTGGAGTGTTGTGGTAGCATCCGAGGAGGTCGAAGCAGACTGACGCTGTCTGCGAGTCTTTGTGGATCGCTACCACCAGCCCGCAACTGCCCCTCCTTGCGTTACCCAGCATCTTGAGATCCTCTGCGCTTCTGAGGTCCCGTTGGTACTCGTAGATGCTGCCGAGTTTGATCTCCACACAGTCAGTGCTGTGCTCGTAGCTATCGGGCTCGAAGCATTCCTGCCGGGGGAGGAAGTACCTGCAGCAGAAGTCTCCCTCCAGCTCTTCTTCCTCGGCCTCGTGCCCTTGCTCGGACGAGGAGCAGGATGCTGCTGTGGCATCCACGTCCATCACTTGGGGGTTGTCGATCACGTACTGAGCGGAGGAGTCGAGGAGCCAGGCGGCTGCTAGTTGGGCGTCGTCCCGGTTGAGCTGTAGAGCAACCAGGCAGAGCTGGTGGGGGTAGCCCAAGGCCGCCAGGTCATTGGCCATGGCAGAACGCTGACCTTGTCTGAGGTCCTGATCTTCGTTGGGGGGAGAGGGAGGAGGGGCAGGGGGAAGAGTTTCTTCAAGGTTGTTGTATGCAAGTTGAGGAAACATGATGCTGTTGCTGTTGCTGATGTTGATGTTGATGTTGTTGTTGTTGTTGTCGTCGTTGCTGTTGTTGCTGCTGCTGCTGCTGCTGCTGCTGTTGCTGTTGGTTTGAAACAGGTGATACATGTACAACTTTTCCATTATTGTTCCTTCGAGATGACGGCACTGATTCCATTCCGATGTTGTCAAAGAACAAGGGCTTTCAGGATCTGCCGCGTCGTCTACAAGATCTCTCCAAAACACCACGAGCTCTGAGACATCAAAAATGTTCTTTGTGCTGCAATCAGCTAGCAGATTGTGAATGGACTTGATTGCAAACAACGACATCTGCCATATGATTGCTCTCCTTTCCTCAACATCTGTGCTGCCAGCTATCAACATTTCATCATGATCTTTCTCATGCTTTTCTTCATTGTCATTGTTGCCTTGTGTTTCAAATCGACACTTGTACTTCCGTCTTATGCTGCTGAGCTCATTTAAGGCCGCAATCAGGTGTGGGAGGATGTCGTGAGAGGGAGGAGGAGGAGCAACGTTGTCAACAACCTCAAGCTTGTCAATGTGGACAAGATTTCTGTCTGTGGACTTGGGATCATCTATCAGCTCGACGTGGCAAGAGTCGAAGAGAAAGTTTGAGACGACGACTTCTTGTCTTTGATTGTTGTGATTGTTGTGATTGTTGCTGTCTGTGCAAGATGATGGTCTTTCTGCATGACGATGTCTAACTTTTGACCCAACACGGAAGAAATCAACCTGTCCTCCAAAGATAGCAAGAGAGGACATGGCAGAATGAGGAGAAAGGAAGAACTGCTCCTCGTCTTTTAGGCTTGCAAGACTTTTGATGATTGCCTCTGACGTCACGTCTCGCCATGTCGTCTTCCTCAACAAGGCTCTGAGAAGGAACACACACTCTGCTGCAACAGACCAGTGAAGTACTTCATCTCGCTCGTCGAGGATTGTCTTGTCTGCCAGACTGAACTTCTTGCACGAGTGTGAGAAGAGAGAAACTCCAGAAATGCTCAACAGCCGATTGATTGTCATCTCCATCACTGCTGATGAGCATGACAGGAATGGCAGAACCTTTTGCAGCATTTGCATGACGCTCACTCTCACTCTTGTATCCCCGAACTTGAGAAACTGGAAGAAAATCTCCACTGATTCCCAAGAAGACAACAAGCACATCAGTTGCCGATCATAACAAGTCTTCTCGATGAAGTTCGTCCATTCCAGCATCTCTGACCTGAGATCACTGACATAGTTCGTCATCGAGTTACAAACATTCTGACGAAGATGTTGGACTCCTCCCATCTTGACGCAAATGTCTCTCATACGTCTCCAAACGCTATCATAACACCTGGACATACATTCATTTTCTTCTGCATGGACATTGCAGAGAGCAAAAGAGGAGACAAGACGCAGGACGGTCTGAGCTGAAAGTGAAAGTTGTAACGGAGGAAGACAAATCCAGTCAGGTTCCAGTTCCATGTCCTCGACATGATCAGTGGATGTTGGCTGCCAAGGAGTTGTCACAGCAGTACTTGTGGAAGATGTGGATGTTGTGGTTGCTGAAGTAGAAGTAGAAGTAGACGTTGATGTTCTTGTTGTTGTTGTTGATGATGATGATGATGATGAGAGGAGTTTGATTCCTCTGATCCTGCTGTTACATCCAGTGTCCTGGTTCTCATGCACCACAATCCTCAAAAGACAAGTCTCAATGGCGTGTGTGGTAGAAGACAAGATATTGACCCATGCTCCTGGGCCTTGTCTGTGATGATACTTGGCGACTTGATACAGATCACTATCGCTGCTGCCGATCTTGACGGAGATGCTCTTGGGAGTGAAAGAACGGTCTTTCAGGTAATCGAGGAAGACAAGTACCTTGTTGATCTTGACGATGCCAGGGAATGCAAACTGAACCCAATGGGGTCGGGAGCCGTCTGACTGCCAGAAACTTTCCATATCACTGTCGACAAGATTTCTTGCGAGCAGGCTGGCAGAGGAGACGGTGATGTGAGAACGTAGAGTTACATCTCTGCTCAGGTGCACGATCGGATCTCCCAGCCAGCCCACGTGCTTTCTCACGCAGCTCCACAAAACCCTCACCATCTTATCGTTGTGCTCGAGGACATTCAGGTCAACATGAGCAAACTTATCTTCAGACTTGAGAAGTGTTCCCTGGAACCAGTAACCATGCACCTCCCACATGTTCTCACAACTCAGATTCTCCTCCTCCACGCTCCTGTCTGCTGTTATGAACACGTCCACCTCCTTGCCAACAATTCGCCCGCAAGCGACTTGTTCATATCGCCTGATAGATTTCTTTGCCACCTTGAAGGTCCTTGTTGTCTTGGTCAACTTCTCAACCCTCACATTCTCATCATCGATCTCTCCAACAACTCGAACGGGAAAGAAGAAAATTCCATTCATCTTCAATTCCTCACATTCTCCAACCATTCGGACCTCAAAGATTCCTTCATAACAATCTGACTGGGCCGCGACCTTCTCTGTTCGCATTTCTCTCTCAAACACACTCTCGCACACCTTCCGAACGTTCTCAACATTGTCTCGCAACAGCTTCTGCCCTGGTTTCTCACTCATGTTGAGCATCGTTGAGACAAGACTGAAGAAAGATTGTACAAGCTCTTCGCACTTCAAGTCTGCTTTCAAAATCCTCGTTGACAAATCCAGCAACAGCAAGAACATCGTCTCAACAATGCTCTCGTACTTCTCAGTCTTGCACACTGCCAACGATTGCAAACTCCCTGAGCTGAGCGAAGATGTCAAGGTACGAATTACATCTGTGAAAACATCAAGATCCAGGTATGGTTGTTGCAGGATGTGCCTGAAGATGCCTGTAGCATGTAAGGTCTTGTCAACAACCTCATTCATTGCAATAATGCTGCGGAAAAACTCCGACGAGTCATGATCTTGTTTCATGAAGTCGACAACATCATCGACGAACTTTGACTTGTCCATGTTAGACGTCGGTTGCAGGAGGCAAAGGAGCTCAATGACTCTACATCTCATCGTCGTCATGATCCGCATGTAAGACAAGTTCGACTGTGTCTGCGAGCTGACGGAGTTGTCAAGGTTGAGAAGACTCATTTTGATCTCCTGGTGTTTGTGCAGAAAGAAAGCTCTCAATTTCATCTTTGCAGCTTGCAGCAACTGCATGTGAGTTTGTTGTACATCTTCAAGTGAGTTCTGCAGTAGAGAAATGACGGTGCTTGCAAACAGCTCGTCGATCAGAGTTACAAACTGCTGCCGCAAACGCACTTGTTCCTCCATGTTCCCCTCGCTGTCTTTCTGCATCATAGTTGCAAAATGCAAAGAGTCTTCAAGGACTTGTCTTGTGCCTGAAAACATTCTCGCAATGATTTCCGAGCAACGATCCTGCGTCTCTCGGATGCTGCTGATGCTCTTCAGCTCCCTCAGAATATCATGGTAAGTTTTCCTCACTCCATGCTCAAAAACTCGGTGAGACAAACATGTAGAGACGCTCTCGACATCCCGGCCTTGACTCATCATCATCGTCTTTGCACATCTTGCAGCCAGCTGCATCTTCATGCTCGAGATGATATGAACGGAAGAACGTGTCTTAGTGTGATGTCCAACAACTAGACATCGGAACCCCCACCTGTCACTTGCTATCTGCTCCGACGTCTCAAATGCAACTTTGCAAGAGCAGCCAGGAATGAAGATTGACATCTTGTGGTTCCGAACAGAGATGGTGTTGTCTTTTGTGAGAGAAGACTTCGATAGTTTGTGGGAGAAGGAAAAGGTCGTTGAGAGACTCTCTGCAAGAACCTGTTCATCGTGCAACAGTCAACTCATGCTGAGATAGTTTCATGATGACAGTCTGTTCAGACCTTGAGTTCATCGGAGGGAGAGAGATCAGTTCTCGGATCGATCTCAACAGTCAGAAAGTCTGCTTCGGGGATGTTGACCTAGAGGCGATGGATGGTTAGAAGTGCTCACGGGGAAAACTATGATGCATAGCAATGAGATGAGATGAGATGAGATGAGATGAGATGAGATGAGATGAGATGAGATGAGATGAGATGAGATGAGATGAGATGAGATGAGATGAGATGAGATGAGATGAGACGAGATGAGATGATCAGCACAAACAAGTCAAAGGGGCAAAGCAAAAGCAGTAGACAACACAAACAACAAGTAGCACGCACATAAGTTCACACACAAACATCATCATCATCAAGACAAGCAAACATGTCGTACATTATAGTTCTCCCTCTCGCAAGCCCGATAAGGATGTGGAGACTCGATGATCACTGAACTTCTCCTCCTCTCCTCGCTTTCATCCTTCATCGTCGACCACCTCGTCTCCTCCCCCTCCTCCTCCGCTAACCTCATTCTCATCAAGACAGGAAGCAGCGCTTGCGCGAACATCTCAGACTGGACGAACAAGAACCCTAAGGAGAGAGTTCCTGGGACCACCAGAGCGAACATCGCATCGTCCTCCAACGCCAGCCTCAGGTCCTCCTTCGACAGCCTCTCCTTCAGCGTTGCTGACCACTCATCCGCGCTCTCCATGATCCTGAGGATGGTGGGCAGGAGGCAGCCATGCAGGAGCATGCGGCAGCTGGTCAGGTCCTCGTTGTCGAGGACGTAGCTCGTCACCTCCCGGACCAGGCTGAGGATAGCTTTAGCCATGAGCTCGTGGTCGAAACCCTCCATTCTCCTGATAGGATTCATCGTCAATACCATCAGCCCGGTCATCTTGCAGAAGCTGGAACAAGATGTATCGACGCGCTGCTGCTGATGCTGCTCCTCCTCCTCCTCCTCCTCCTGCCGCTCCTGCTGCTCCTGCCACTCCTCTTCCTCGTCACCGCTGGTTTGAGACTTTGGGATCAAAAATCGAGTGAAGGTGACGTCTTGGGCTGCTGCTCTGAGAAGCGCGTGAAGGAGGAGACGGTCGCCTGCTCCGAGGGTTTCTCCCGAGAGAAGACGAGAGAGAAGCTCGTGGAGGAGACGAACCTGAATAGAGAGAGTAAGGAAGAGGAGAGGAGAGGAGAGGAGAGGAGAGGAGAGGAGAGGAGAGGAGAGGAGAGGAGAGGAGTGGAGAGGAGGGGAGAGGAGGGGCGAAGCAGGGCAGGGCAGGGCAGGGCAGTGCAGGGGAACTGACGGCAAAGAGACTAGAAGAGAGGATAGGAGCTCGGCGAAGGAAGAAGACAAGAGGAAAGTGGCCATAGCAAGCTTTTCACCTGCTTCTCCCCCCCGGGCGAGATGATTCCATACCCATCGATAATGATGCGACAGCACTCGTGGTGAATGGGCGTGTGCTGCAATGAGGCAACCCCGATCAGATCCCTGACGAGAGGAAGCAGGTCGATCAGGACAAGCTTGCAAGCGTCGATTTCACTGCCCGCCTGTGATGCTGCGGTCAGAAGGGAAATGGCAAGAGGAGAGATGGACAACAACCTTACTTGTTGACGGGTTTGATGCTTCCTCTGCATCCCCTCCACTTCCCAGCTGCTGCTCAGCTCCTGCTGAAGAGATCATGCTCTTGAGCTCAACCAGGTTGAAGTAGAGGATCCTGAGAGTGAACGTAATGAGCGTCTCAACCGCCGCGTCATATCGCTGGTTGTCAAAGTTCGACAGGATGTTCTTGACTCCCGTGAACGTCTCCCTGCAAACTTCGATGCACCAGGGGAACCAGGAAAAGTTTCCGACGTCGTGAGGAAAGACGATCCTGTCCTTGACCTCTTCCTTCTTGAACAGACCCTCGAAGAAGGACCCGTCTCCCCTATGCGCTCGCACCCACGACGTACACATGAGCTCGACGTGCGCCAGGAGGATAAGGACTGAGAGCGGCGCTGACCGAGAGCGGCGTGCTGAAGAGAGGAAGTGCTCGGGCAGGGTCAGGAAGGCGACGGCGTCGCAGGGGTAGTGGTAGCTGGAGTCGTCCTGAGCTGAGAAACAGGTTTGACACCCTTCGACGTTTGCAAGGAGGTTGAGGGTGATGCAGGCGCTGGACTTGCTGTCCGGTAAGGAGGAAGAGGAGGAAGAGGCTGAGGAGGAAGGGGCGTTGAGACAAGAACGCAAGGAAGGAGGAGGAGTGAAGGAAGGAGACGAAGGAGAAGCAGAAGGAGACGAAGGAGAGGCAGAAGGAGGGGGAGGAGAGGCAGAAGGAGGGGGAGGAGAGGCAGAAGGAGGGGAAGGAGGAATTGGTCCGTCGTCATTGAGCACGCCGGCCGACCATATAACGTTGAGGTTGGAATCGTAGGTGAGGGAGGAGGTAGAGCTTGCGATAGAGCTGCAGCCGTCGCAGGAGTGAAGTCCGGACTCCATGTCAAAGGTCCTGCACACAAACTTCCTCCTCCCTGCTCTCTCCTTCACATGCACGTGTAGCGTCTGCCCGTTGCTGTACAAGAGACATCCTAGGGGGGAGGGCAGTAGATCTCGTTCCGTCAGGGCAGCCTGCGCGCTGTCCCCCGATATCGCAACCAGGTGATGAAAACCGCAGGCAATCTCCGACAGGTTCTTCTTGGTCATGCTGGGAACGAGCACAGGAACGAGCCGGTCGGTCGAGTCGCCCAGCCCGAGCTGGCCATGGCAGTTGCAGCCGAAGCTCCACAGCTCTCCGCTCTCAGAGAGGACGCAAGTGAAGTGAGTGCCGCACGAAATCTTCACAACCTTGACGTTCCGGAGTGTCTCCACCTGCATCGGCGACGAGACGCTGTCGGTGTGACCGAGGCCAAGTTGACCCTGGTGGTTGTAGCCGAAGGTGAACAGCTTGCCGTCTTCGAGCACAACGCATGTGTGGCTGTACCCGCACGCGATCATGCTGGCTGGCCGCTCTTGGAGCGCTGCGATGAGGGTGGGGACGTTGGTGGACGACCTGCTCCCGAGACCGAGCTGACCGTTGAGATTCTTGCCGCAGGAGAAGACCATCCCTTCCTCCGTCAGGAAGATCGTGTGGTACTGACCGCATGCGGCAAGGCGGACGAGATGAGGAGAGGGGAGTTCAACCCTGTGCGGCAGCAGCTGGTTGGGTCTGGTGCCGATGCCTAGCTGCCCGCAGTCGTTGAGTCCGAAGGAGAAGGCAGAGCCGTCGGAGGAGACGACGACGGAGTGGTGATAGCTGCAAGACGCCGAGAGGACGCGGACGTGCTTGAGGGACTCTACGAGAAGGAGGGAGGGGGACATCTTGGTAGACCCAAGTCCTAGCTGACCGTGGTTGTTGCACCCACACGAGTAGACTTGTCCTGCTGACGTGACTACCAGCACGTGCTCTGCCCCGTTGAAGCAGCTGACCTGCACTACCTTGCAGTCGGGCGGTAGCCCCTCCATGAGCTCGATGTCGCTGCTGTACTCCTTGGACCTGTTGGCCGACCCTTGATGTGTTTCTCTCGCTAACTGCCCCGTTGAGTTCAACCCGCAGCAGTAGACCTGACAGGATGTCAGACGTGTTTGAAGTATTGTTCTTGTTGATCAATGGAATCGTCGTCGTCGTCGTCATCGTCATCGTCATCGTCATCGTCATCGTCATCGTCATCGCCATCATCATCATCATCGCCATCATCATCATCATCGCCATCATCATCATCATCATCATCATCATCATCATCATCATCATCATCATCATCATCATCATCATCATCATCATCATCATTTTCATCACCTTGCCCTCTTCCGTCAGGAAGTACGACGTCTCACTCCCAGCAGCTACCTTCACGATCCGCTTCCTCCTCAGCGACTGAACCAAGGACATTTCGACTTGCTCTCTGAAAGTTGAGTGCCCTAGCTCGCCCTTCCTGTTCTGCCCACACGCAAACACTCCGCAGTCTCCCTCCCCATGTGTCTCCTCATTCACACAAGACGACAGGGAGGAGGAGGAGGAGGAGGCAGCGAGTCCGCGCTCGTCGCATGCCTTGTGAGCAGCGGCATCCTGCGACAGCATGTCGTTGTGCAAGCACATGGGGCCGACGAGCCTGATGGTTCGGAGGATAGAGCCATCTCTTACATCTAACGCTTCTACCACAACGTGACCGGATCTTATCAACCTGTCTTACATGGTAAGAGGAAGTTTGGAGAGCATGCTAGCACTTTGGAGCAAACTAGTGCACAAAAGTCTAGAATGCCAATCATTAATGCAATAACACCCAGTTTTCTCGACATCCCACTCACTGTTTCACTCTCCCTGAATGCGTGCTTCTATGTGTTCGTTCTCGTATGGAATTGTATCTCCTTACCTCTTCACGGAGTACAACAAACTCCCGTCTCCAAAGATTGGACCGTACTCCACATCAGCAGACTGGAACTTATCTAGAACGCCTGTCTCTTGCAGACTGACTTTGTCAAGGATGAAGATCTTCTTCTTCTCTTCTCTGACGCTGCTGTGAGATCGGAAGAAAAGCCAACTGCCAGCGCAAGCCAGCCATCCTTTCTCTCCTTTCCTATACGAGCTGCATGATACAACTCCGACATCTTGGCCTTGCGATATCCCCTTGGCGATCTTCATCAATCCAACGTTGCAGTGAAGGAATATGAAAGATCCGTCAGAAGCAATCGTCGAGTAGTTCTCAGTGAAATCTGCCTTCTTTTACAAGACACCGTCAGTTCCAGCTAGACTTCGGCATCCAAACACAAACACACACTCTCTGACACTCACACTGACGCAAAGATCAAAAGCAGAACGGGTCAAGTGTAGATCACCAGCACACACATCATGTTCGGAAGGATCTCCGGCAACACAGCCATCCCCTCCTCCACTTCAGCAGCTCACCGCAGCGCCGATCCTCCAAGTTCGCAGGGAGTTGGAAGAGCACAGGGAAGACAGCGGGGTGTGGAACCACCTTCTGAGTACTGTGCATGACTCGTCCTCCTCTTGGACGCTTGTGCACTCAACAAACCGGCTGACCAACGAGAAGACGTCTAGCTGCAGCTCGCTGCTCCTGATGCCAAGAAGAGCTGACCGCAGGACCCTCGACAAGCTGCCCTGATGGATTGAGAGATGAAAATGAGCACGTAGCGCCTGCTCCCGCTGCTGCAAGGGGAACCCCTCCCCGCTGGCGATGTCTGCTAGGGTTTCCGCCAACGGCTCCAGGACCTCCTCGTCCTCTCCCATCAGGCTCAACGGGGGAAGACCATCCAAGATCTCGCAGAGAGAGTCGCACACCTGAGCTAGCAGCTCATGCCTGTCCCTGGACAAGGACCGGATGGTGAGGAACAACGTCTGGAGACCCAGTTTTACCATCACAGGGAGACTGGACCTCTTGCGGGAGGGGCACGACAGCCTCCTCCCTCTCTGCTCACACGCGCTGCTGCTGAATCTCGCTGCCTTGTGCAGCTCGTAGAGCTGCAGGGCAACTCTTGCGCTCAGCATCATCGATGAACGAGATCCGCCAATCTCACTGCGACTGATGGCGTCCTTTGATATCATTCTGATCCACTCCTCTACGCCCTCAGTGTGCTCTAGAGCATGTCCGAAACACGGTTTGCATCTTTCGCCCTCCTGCTCCGCCCCCTCTGCTCTTGTGACATGTTCCTGAAGGTGGGCGTACCTGGTAGCAACCAGGCTCTCGTCCGAGCTGATGGATGTGTAGGAGGTGTTCAGTGCGCTATGTTGGCTCATCTTGACGTTGGCGGGGTCAATGTTCCTTAGCTGTTCGTACATGTGCTTGTATTCCGACGGCATCGTAGTTGCGATGTTATCACCCTGCTGCCGTCTCGCCATCCCCCACCGGAGCTGAAAAAGCAGAACTTCAGTATTGTACAGGAGGAATCAAGGCAAGAAACAAGGTTGATGGGGAAGAATGCGAGAGGATTAGAGCATGGAGGGCATGGAAGGAGGGCATGGGGTATGGGGGGTATGGAGTGGAGAAGGAGGAGCTACGATATAGGAGCGTGTGAACCAGGGGTGGGGCGGGGAAAGCATGGAGCAGGAGATTGCCTAAAACAATTATTGATAGTATAAATATATAAGCCGGAACTACTTTATACCAGGACTGATGGTACGATTATAAATTATTAAAATAAAAAGTTGCTCCCAGGAGCCTTAAGTGTATTATATGTTGTCGAAAAATATTTGTTTTGAAAAACATAAATATTTTAGAATGTGAAATAATATATTTTCGGATCCATTCCTTATTTTGTCGGGGGGATCATTTAGTACCAATGACATACCCTACCCCTTCGTTGCTGAGCCATACCCCTCTGATTTGATTCAATTCTAGGGTGAAATGTACCCAAGAATTGGGCACATAGTACCACCCTACCCTACATCCTCCACAATAGCTTTACTTCAGCATAGTCTTTTTAAAAATGAGACTTTTAGGTATCCCCTCGTCCCCCCGCCTGCAATATGGGCAGTGGAGGGGATGAGGAGACCGGCCCTTGACGCCAACAAACCATGGCAAAACCTTGTGGCGGGGAGGAGGGAGGAGAGAGGGGGGGGGAGAGGGTGGAAGGTGGAGGGTGGAAGATGCACAAGCTGTGAAAGGAGGGAGCATGTCACGGGTAGGAGGGAGCATGGACATGCAGGAAAGGAGCATGGACTGGGAATAACTCCTGAGGCAGGACGGGTTAATGGTGACGAGGGTGCGATGGAGGAGTGAAGACGTCCAGACAAATGAGCGACAAACAGGATGATTGTGGTCAAACCAGGATGGTGGTTACTTGTGAGAACCAGCGAGCAGGAGCAATAAGGCTAGGGAGAGGTGGTGAGGACATGAATGCGATAACGACAAAGGATGGTGAGGTGGCATGGCAAGTCCCATGTGAGCATGGAAGGAACATGAGTTCAACTCAGATGAATGCTAGAGAATGTGTAGAAGAGAGGCGGCAGCTGCTGGTATTGGTTGTGATGGGAAGAGGAGAAGCGGTGAATGAGACGAGAGAGAGACCGTAGAAAGCGAGTCCGATTTTCTTGAGCATGTGGTGGGGAGTTACTCTCAATCCTAGCTCAGTTGTCTACCATCAGTCTGAATGATTGTATTCCTCATCTTACAGGAATGAGATTCTTCGCAATGTCAAGGAGCTTGTGATCAAGGTTCAGCAGGATGAATGACCGGTGGTACCATCAGACGGCTGTCGTTGTGCTCCTGATATTTTTGGAACAGGATTGGAAACGTTTTCGCTGCTCTCTTCCTATGTGTCCTGCATACAGTGCGAGCTCAAACTGCCAGCAGTGGTTGTGATGCTGGCTCTTTCTGCTGCACCTTGCCGCCATGTCGCTGTGGGACTTACGTAACTTGTTTGGCCAACACCAACTGCCTCAGTGCTGTCTGCGAGATTTGCCCTCCAGGATCGTACTGCACGTGCGAAGCAGGTCTGCTACAGCCAAGAGCTGGGTAGAGGGGTCTTCTTGTGACTGTTACCGGCAGCATGTCCGAAATCGCTGACGTCGACGCCGAGCAATCTCATCAGGTTCCTTACAGTAACTTGATGTTCAGTATGAGGGTCACGTGGGGTCGGCAGGGTCTGCCCTTCGGGATACTATTGCCCCATGTTCTCCGGCCGTCCAACACCGTGCCCAGCCGGTGATCACAATGAGGAGAGACGGGTCCAACTTTGTGACTAGAGTCGCAGGGACATACGGTGACAAGACAGGGTTGAAGGCTTTGGAAGATTGCAAGAAATGCCAACTGCTGCTTGACTCAAGGTTTCCATCTCCATTTGGTCTCTGAAGGTGATAAAGTCGAACAGTGAAGGCTCGTCAAAGTGCAAGTTGTCGAACGCCGGGATTGCAGGTCTGTGCGAAAGAGCTGTGCCCAATCCCGCCTCACCAATACCTCCAGTCATCTGCGCCTCATGTGGAGGGTCACTTGTGTGAGTATCGATACGGATGCTGTGGAGCAAATTCTGAATTGTTCATCGGTTGGGCGAATGCAGCATTGGACTGTTGTGTTACGTCGGGTCAGTCTCTTGAGAATTATGAGAATCTTCGTTGATGGGAGGTGTAGAATGCATTGGAGGAGGCTGCGGGCAAGGCAAGCAGAGTCAAGATTCCTTGAGTCCACTGTGAGATTTTACCGATCTCTTCCTCCTTCGACTTTTTTTCGCAACTGAAGTGTCCCCTGATGACCTTGTTGTCTGCTCCTGGTGAGTATCAACTGACATTGCTTCCTGGCGTTTTCTCTGCAGGGTCCGCAACTCAAACCACCAGGTAACCATCCCCTGTTAACAATAGAACGAACCTGAGAGCCATTGTGTTCTTTCTTGCTCAGCCAACTTCTCGCCGATGGAGAGCTACGGCACCGATGACGACACGTCATCAGACCGACTGTACCCCGGGGACTCCATGGAGCCAACGGCTCCGATAGCCAAAGTCTTGAGTGCAGATGAGAGGAGGGAGCAGCTAAGAAGGAGGATGGAAGTAATCTTAACACTGGAGCTGCCTGACAGCAGACTGACTCTTCTTGTGAATGAAAGGAGCTTGAACGGCAAGAATCGATCAAGGCAGTTGCGAAGGGCAAGGTAATCTTGAGGTGTTCAAGGTGCTGCTGCTGACGAAGGAGCACAGGTCCAAGACAAGGCCCGAGAGAGCCTGATAGAAGACAATAGGGTAGAACGCATATTGACTCTGCGATGGTACGCGCGCTGATCAACATCGCATTTGCAGATGCAAGCAAGAGTCGGGAAAGCATCACAAGGTCATTGTGCCCTTCTTACTCTTCAATTGTAATCTCTACCTTGCATTGACATGTAGACAGGGAAGAAAAGCTTGTTCGGAAAGGATAAGAAGAAGCATGATGATGAAGTCAACATAGAAGTCTGCGTATGATTCCTCAACGCGATGTTTTCTTCATCTTCGTTTGACTTTTTCGCTTAACTTCTCTCACTGTGGGAGACGCTTTCTGTACAATATGTGTCCTTGCCTTTAGAAACATCTATATACCTCTGAATTCACTTTATTATGCACATTTCTTCTAAGATCGCAGTCTGTTACACTTGTCTCCTCCGATTCTTCTTTTCTTTCACTTCACTACCATACCCAACAGAGAAATGTTACAGAAGTGAATCATCTAGCCCCTGCAAGGCAAGATGATTAGAGAGGCTTCCTGAGAAGCAACAGAACCAACTTCGAGCATAATGCCGCAAGAAGACGTAGTAAGTAGCCCACGAGATTACTATCGCAAGAAAGCTCTTCTGCACAGACAAGGCAAGTCAGGCATTCGCTCTTCCATCAGCTGATTTTTCACCTGCATCACCATCTCCCCGCTGGTGAAGTTGAAGCTGGGAAACGAACAGTGTGAGAAGATCATGAATGTTAGAGCACAGGGCAGGTGACGAGCCCATCACATCATGTATGTTAGAGCAGAGAACAGGAGACGAGGAGAGCAGGCAGGGGTAGCGGGAGAGCAAAACCACATCGCTCACATAGAGAAAACGTCGACGCATCCCTGCCGGAACTCCGGGTTGGTGAACAATGAGAAGAAACTTCTGAGTTTGCGGGGGCGCAAGAGGTGTGAGAAAGACATCATCTTGAAGGTCTCAATGGCCTGCGTTACCCGCCCAGTCATAGTGCCCTCCTGCCCCGTGGCATCGCTTTTGTGTGCTGTCCTCCTACAGCCTTTGTGCTCGGGATGGTTCAGAGCACAGGACGAGGCACCTGCAGAGCTCCGTCCTAGCAGACGAGAAGCCCCTGAGATCAGCAGAACGAGCAGGATCCCGCCGACTGTGGCTACCTCCTCCAGAGCTGGTGGGAACAAATCTACATCTCCGATTCCATTGCACCCGAAGCCCCTCCTCCTCCCACAGTCATCGGGCACGAGGGCTCTGACGCAGACCTGCTCCTCGGGCTTCCTCGGATCCCCCAGCATGACATGGGTTCTCCTCGCCCTCGCCCTCTCCCCTTGCCATCCCATCCATCGCGCCCCGTCCTCCAACCCCAGCATCCTTGCCCGCCCTTCTCTTGCCCACGGAGCTATTGAAACTCTTCGTGCCCCTGCCTGAAAAAACTCTAATTGAGCTCCTAGTAAATAATGCCCATCCCCCAACCTAGTCCTCACCAAACAAGTCAGCGAGCGCCCGATGTCCGGCCCGACGGGCACTGGCAGCATACTAGACTGAAAATGATCCGATCGGATCACCCGGTGATCGATTCAAGCCTAGTCCGGGCAAGCTCCTCCTCCGCCTCCGCCTCCGCCGCCTCTTCCTAGTCCTCGTCCTAGTCATCCTCCTCGTCCTCGTCCTCGCGCGAGGAGTCCTCGTCCCACTTCAGGCTTGCTATCGCCGAGGCGCTGAGCAGCAGCCTATTGACCTTCCGGACCCCGGGCCCAACTTGGCAAGGGTCCGCAGGGCCTAACACGGACCCAGACTGACTAACTCGGAAAGCACTCAATTGAGCCTCGGAGTATCATGAGCCGCGAGCGAGGACAATCCGAGGCAGCGGGAGACAACTCCGATCCTGACTCCCGGAGTACGATCGGGAGTGCCCGGCGGGTCAGCGGGGCCCGGGCCGGGCGCCCGCCGCAGCCTGGGCTAGTGATAAGTTTACTCAAAGTCACTCAAGTTAAAATGAAGTTTTACGGGCCTTGTTTTTTTTAGCCTTTTGACCGTTTTTTCCCCCTACTACTCTTGACTCCTCTCATAACCTTCTTAGAGACTCTGACCCCACCCCCCTGGGTGTAAGAGAGGCCTTTTTTGACCCACCCCTACTTCTAGCCTTTTGTAACCCCCTTTCCTCCATGCAAAATGGCCCCGGGCCTCGAAGTAGTACCCACCCCTCCTTCCGGGCCGGTCACTCTATATCAACGTACACAATGCAGCGCCGGCTACGGGAGGCGCTTCATGGCGCATCGACGGAGGGAGGGAGCGAGCGAGGACATGCGCCTACTCCATCGCTTCAGCTCCATCCATTGCACAACACACCATCTCCTCACTCCTCCTTCCCTGCTCAAGTCCCCGTCCAGCGCCCTCGGACTTCACAACACTATCGAAGTCCCGATCCGGCTCGCTCCTTCCCACCGCGAGCCAGCACGGTGATGGGAAACACCAAGGGAAAGGCAGGGTGGAAGGCTAGTGGACAAGCAAACAGCAAGAAAGACAGAGGATACGAAGCGTCTCCTAGCAACGTCATGAGGCCTCGCTCGAGTATGGGCTTGTCATCACAGAGAGATCTGGTCACAGATACAGAGCTCTCAGTGTACCACGCCGCCATGAAGGCGTTCCCCACAAAGGAACCAGCGCTCACCAGGCAGAAAATGATATGCACGTCGTGCCATGACGGCCTCTCGGTTTATGACGATAGAAACCCAAGAGAAGAGGCGATGGTGCACAAGCCGAGTGCTGCAGATGAAGATGACCGGAGCAGGTTCAAGAGGAGCAAGGCGCGGGTGCGAAGGAAAGTCAGCTCCAAGGAAGATGAGGAAGGTTGGCAACGAAGTCATGTCATGCAATAGTGATTGATATGTCTTGATAGACCCTCGGGTTGAGATCAAGAGGAACCAACAAGCCATGATGTCTGCTCTTGAGAAACTCAACGCCCTGACTGACTTCAGCCAAGAGGATCTATCCAAGAACGCTCTTGAGGTTGGTGAATCGTGCTCGGCTGCCGCATTGAGGCATGATGCAGGGACGAGAAGTAGAGTGGAGGGTCGATGACGTGGAGAAGTACTCGCAAACGATCGTTGCAAGAGAGAAACTGAGCAAGTTCGCATGTGAGCTGAGAGATTTGACGTGATCGGCGTTGCGTTAGAGATCCTTGGGGCAGGTGCTTCTGCGCCGAATTGGCCAGCCCTTGATGTCGAAATGAACAAGACAAACGTGAACAAGGCGTGTTCTTAAGATGCTGGTAGTCATGCTGATACAGGAAATCTTGTCCAAGTGCGAAGTGTTGGACAAGGCCCTTGCTGAGATGGCCAAGAATCAGGCCAGGCAAGTCCAGCAGATTGCAGAATCCAAAGGTGAGGAGGAGAATGATGATGCATGCTTCTGCATGCCACAGTGAAGCTCTTTACAGCTGAGGTAGAGACGGTCGACAGACAAGTTCAGACTGTGGAAGAGAACGTCTCCTACTCGGCAGACGTGTCGACACGAGTAAGCAACCACTACGATGAGAGATGAAGATGGAAGATGACATGTGGGCTTGCAAGGCTACAAGGCTGATGAATGCGTCTCGGATGAACAACGTTGGACTGGGTCACATGATCGACCTTGAGGTGAAGATCACTCCTGCTTGAGTTCGGCACTCTCCTCCTCCTGCTCCTCCTGCTCCTGCACCCATGCTCCTGCTCCTGCTCCTCTCCCTCCCCCCAGCAATTGGATTTGTGTCTTTCAATGAGAGTGGAAATGACTTCACTGAACTGGAAATACATCTCAGAACTGTATCGGAGAAGAAGGGTACAAAGCGATGAAGAATGAGATGAAGTCGTCCAGCAAAAGAGGTGATATCGAACTGGCTTCCCTCGTTTCTTGACGTTTCCGACCAACTTCTCAAAGAGTACGAAGATCTGGTTACCAAGAAGCTCGTAGACGAGGCAAACGTTTTGAGCTGTGCTGTAAAGGTCGTGATGTCATGGCGCAACAGATGGCGAAGGCGATCAAAGAGTTGTTGGCGGAGCGAAAGAAGATGATTCAGGTGATGGAAACCCTCATCGCCAGCGCAAGAGAGCACGCAAAGAGGGCGCAAGAAACGGAAAAGAAGTGAGTTGCAGTGAAGATGGCCGTGCCTCCCTTTGAAATCACGCTGTTCGGCAGGGAGACAGAGAACAAGTTCGTGCAGACCGAACCGATCTCGTTCAGCACCAAAGAGAGCGCAAGTCGGCAGGTAAGAAGCGACTTGTTCGAGCGGTTCGTGCCTCCCCGTCCTGATCTTCAACCGCACAGGTCGATAGCGAGCAGGTAGGAGGTGAAGTAGACGCTGCTGCAGACTCCACGAGCAAGGTTTCTCCCTTGATGCAGAGGAGGGGCGAGGGTCAGCGTTGTCCTGTAGGCGATAAGGCAGTGGAAGGACTACTTGAGTCAGTTCGCAAACAAGCCCAAGGCGAGCGTTGCTCCAGCATCGATCCTCTACAGATTTCTCAAAGGTACAAATACCCTGCTCCTGCTCCTGCTCCTGCTCCTGCTCCTGCTCCTACTCCTGCTCCTGCTCCTGCTCCTGCTCCTGCTCCTGCTCCTGCTCCTGCTCCTGCTCCTGCTCCTGCTCCTGCTCCTGCTCCTGCTCCTGCTCCTGCTCCTGCTCCTGCTCCTGCTCCTGCTCCTGCTCCTGCTCCTGCTCCTGCTCCTGCTCCTGCTCCTGCTCCTGCTCCTGCTCCTGCTCCTGCTCCTGCTCCTGCTCCTGCTCCTGCTCCTGCTCCTGCTCCTGCTCCTGCTCCTGCTCCTGCTCCTGCTCCTGCTCCTGCTCCTGCTCCTGCTCCTGGTTTTGTGCTGGTGAATTATGTTCTGATCTTGAGCGCAGGGATTCTCACAGAAACTCGCCGCATTCTCAGAGATTCCCCCCATAAAACACTTCCAGGTGAGTACGTGCATCCAGCACTTTATGCTCTGCTCTGACCTCCCTCCTCCTCGCTCTAACTCTCACTTACTCTGCTCTGACCTCCCTCCTCCTCGCTCTAACTCTCTCTCACTTGCTCACTCCTCTTCCTGGTCCTCCCTCCCAACCACCTTCACCTGCTCCTGCTCCTGCTCCTGCTCCTGCTCCTGCTCCTGCTCCTGCTCCTGCTCCTGCTCCTCTTCCACTCCTCATGCTGCTCTCCTTGCAGAGATCGTGTACGAGTTCACAGTTCACAAGTTCGGCCTCAAGTCGGTTGCGGACGCGAGACTGTCCGACCTCCTGGGCTCTCTCCCAGCTTACAAGGTTGCCGCCCTCCCCCTCCTTCCCAGCTCATCTCCATCAGGACTCCATGCCCCTCGCTCGCATCTTCGGAAGACTCTGCGGGCTGTTGGAAGAGGAGTACTCGCAGGTGAAAGTCAATGGGGGGAGCAGGAGCAGGAGCAGGACCAGGACCAGGACCAGGACCATGAGCAGGAGCAGGAGCAGGAGCAGTGGAGAGAAGAGAAGGGGGAAGAAAGGGGGGAGGAGACCTGAATTTGGGGAGGTAGAGGAGCAGGACGAGAGCGACTGGGACGAGTACGAAGAAGATTGTAAGGGGAGAATGGTTGACAATTCGCAGGACGCGCTGATCTTCTTCTGCTCTGCTTACGATCTGCTCGAGTCAACAAGCATGGGAGGATCGAGTCGATCGATGACATGGTCTGTGTGCCCTTGCCCTTGCCCCTGCCCCTGCCTTTGCTCTTTCTCCTGCTGTCAATATGAAGATTTGTGCCATCGTTTGAAAGGGGAGTGCTGATTTTGCAAATCGCATCAGGTTCGATCTTGGGACTTCAACTAGAGGTTCTCTTTCCTCGTCCTCGTCCTCCTCCCTCTCCAACTTCCCCCCTCCCCCCTTTTCCTCCTGCATTCAAAACCTTTCCCATCTCCCTTTCATCGCCTCTCCTCCTCTCCGCTCCTGGTTCTCTAACGCGACCTCGTTGTAGTGATTCTGTCGGAGCTGTTGACCATCACCAACAAGATTTTTAGCTCCTTCACTCCCGGGAAGGGATCCACCATCTCGAGTCTCCTTCCCCCTCCTTCCCGCCTCCTCCTCCTCACTTGACCGCAGCTGCCGAGCTCGTGGCCAAGATCACCAAGCTGCAAGAGCCTCCTCCCAACGTCAAAGATCCTCCTCCTCATCGGGTGCGAGCAGGAGCTGTCGTGCATGCCGGGTACTGAGAGGAGGACGGCAGGTGCCGAAGCGCGAGTGGGAGAGATTCAAAGCTGTCATGGCGAGCAAAGCGCACAGTTCGTCACAGGCAGACAAGGTTGGTGAACATGTTGAGAAGATGTGACAACGAGCTCTGATGTCAACATGGGCTAAAGTCTTGAGTTGGCTTGTCGAGTTTTCCTGGCACTCAACTTTATCCTTGAATATCTACTTGCATGAATGTGCAATGACGTTGTAGCATGTTTCAATGTGCCGTCTACATTCTTGTTGTCTGATTTCAGACGTCTCATTTGCATTCTCGTTGTGAAATCTCACCTTGCGTGTGCTCGTTACCTTGTACTGTCTTATCCTCACCAGGTGACTGTCGATCTCGAGCTCTGGTTGGATGCGATTCTCGACAAAACATTCGAGTTCCTTGAGGTGATGCAGGACAAGAGAGCAGAGGAGAGAAGAGCAGAGCAGGGCAGAGCAGAGAAGAGGCGAGAGGAGGCGAGAGGAGGCGAGACGAGGAGGGGAGGGGAGAGGAGAGGGGAGGAGAGGGGAGGACAGGGGAGGAGAGGGGAGGGAGAGAAGGCGAAGAGAGGAGTATAGAAAAGATAAGGCGAGAGGAGGAGAAAGGATGGCAGAGAAACGACCGAATGCATGAGAGAAGAGGACAGAGGTTCTCGGGAGCTGCATATGTTGACCGTGATGTCTAACAGTCGCAAGAGACGGATCTGATCCGCATCTTCAACGAGAACGACGCCAATGGAGATGGAATACTGACATTCGAAGAGTTCTTGGGTGAGATGAAAGAGATAGAGAGGGAAGGACTCTGCAACGTTGTTTGTTCCTCTGCAAGATTCTTGCACAAGACAACTCGATGTTGTTAGTTGTTCGCTGGGTCCAGCAACATTGTCAGTGTCTTGTTCCACTCTTGACATCTTGGTCAGAACTTGTTCGCAACATGTCTGGGTCGAGCACGCACGGGAAGGAGCTTCTGGATCAGTGCCAATCTGCGTATGCTGCCATGTAAGACTTTGACGTCTTTCCGCTCTACTTACCCGAAACTTGCCAGGTTGAAACAAAGTGCCGATGGCAGGATAACACCCAAGGTGAAAGAAACTTTCTGTGAATGGCCCATTTCCCTCTTACATGTTGTGTATCGATCCTCTCCCTCTCTCCTTCACCACCTCCTTGTCTCACGCAGAACATTCTCGCAGATCTTTGCACAAACTTGGCGGCACCATTACCACATTACCGTCAGAACCAAGACGGAGCGACGTGAGAGCATCTGATCGACGGAGATCCATCTGATGACCTGCTCATTGCAGGCGATGACGTCAGCGATGAAGAGCCGGCGGTTTGCAGACAATCTTTGCATCATCTGCAGTTGATGTCTTGATCAAGGACGAGGATAAGGACAAGCAGGATGAAAAGGGAGGCAGGTAGAGAGTGAAAACTCGTGTGATGGAACATCGTGACATCTCCCCTTGCCAGAGCTGAGAACTGGGGTGAAGACCACGCAAGCTGCGATCATATCTAGTGAACGTCTTGACTGCAGACAAGATGGACGACATGCTTGAAGAAGCTCTGTGGGACATCGAGCAAGTGAGTTGGACATGTCAGAACAACATCGTTGAGCCTGCTGTCAGTTCAAGCAAGACCATCCCCAGATCACCGAGCAGAATATCTTCCTCCTGCAGCTGCTGGAGCAGGTGTGTCGATCAAGGAGGGAGGAGATGATTCGGACGCTCACTGTATTGCTCTCGCTGCAGGCACAAAATGTTCGATATTCAATCCATCAGAGGTATGGCGAATCCCATCCGTTTCCTCATCCTCATCCTTGTCCTCCTCCTCCTCCTCCTCCTCCTCCTCCTCCTCCTCCTACTACTACTACTACTACTACTACTACTCTTTCTCATCCTCCTCCTCTTCATCATCCTCTTGTCTGTCAGCATATCCCCCATCGTGCAAGGATTATCAAGCATCGATATTCACCACCGCTAACATGATACGTTCCTTTCCTGGTTCGCTTGCAGGATTGGGACTGAAGAAGAGGCCCTTCAGAACATACGAGAACTGAAACGCAACAAGATCAAAGTAGACAACTATGATGTTATTTCATGCAACCCTCCTCATGTCGACTCTAGGTAGAACGAAGGATACTTCAACTGATCCGAATCTTCGCTCCTCGCCCTGGTATTTCACCTGCCCTCCTGCTCCTCCCGTTCACTAGGCTCATAGGACGGAGCGAGAGAGTGAAGATACTTGTGCAGGAAGCAGGTAATGACTCTCCTCCTCCACCGCTACCCTATAGGACTCGAGACCTCCCTCCCTCCACACTCCCTCCCTCACTCACTCACTCCCGGCCTCC